CGATTTTATTCGTCATTTGGACGAAAAAATTGCAGATTTATGTGTCTGCAAATCGCATCATTCCAGATCCTGTCTTATAACTTATTCAGACACCGAGTTACAAAAAGTCAATTTTAAAACTGGATTCAGATCTAAAACTTGTGAGAGCGTTGCAATTCCGATTAAAAAAGTTATTAGACAATCTACAGCTGATAAGTTTTATTTCATATAAAAATTGAACAAGTATTTAATTAAAATAAAATATATCGTGTTTTTGATAGTTTCAAAAGTTATACTTTGGAGTCAACTAAATGTAGTCGACAAGCAAATTATAAGAAACATAGAGGAGTTTGATAGATTTGTAAAAAAGCAACTCTGGGTTAAGTTTTTTTAAAAAAATCCATTTTTTATTATTGAACGCTTCGCGAAAAAACATTAATGCAATCCGATCAGATCAGATGCAAACAAACAACTCTCGACGAAAACGACGACGGTTCCATGACAGAAAACAAATCGATACTCAGACGCTCTGAAAATCCCGTTGCCATCGGAATTACGAAACTTTATCACTTCACTTTCACTATGGGAAAACCCCATATTACACTGCACGAAAATAAAAAATGCAAACAAAGTAGTTTTAAAAAAACTTTATTTCCATTCATATTTAAAAATTCTTAAATAATTTAGTTTTTAAATTAAAGAAATTTCAGTGATGAATAATTGTTTCTTTTAGATCTAAATAACTGAAAACAAGTGAAATTTTATTTTATAACCGTCGTTGAGCAACCGACCTAATTTTCGGGTTTATGTAATTTTGAAACCAATCCAGAAGACAAGGGAACTCCAGAATCAAGTAGTGGGAGAAATTTGCCTTCGTGGAGAACTTTTGATCGAACTAACCGCCTTTGTGTTACATGGAGAGGCAGACCACGAGTTCCTCCCACGGTTAGCCTACGGCAAGGGAACTCTAACCCATGATCCGTCAACCACTGAGGATATTTCACGTCAGCACTGTGATCGGTGCAAGTTGGATACTGAATTCATATCGCCCAATCATCTCCGGGATTCGAACCAGGTTCACCTCATTGGAAGGCGAATGCTCTATCCTCTGAGCCATCACGACTCTAAAAATAAGTGAAATTGAAATTATTTGAAAAATTATTGTTCGTAAGTGAGCCATATTTAGAAAATTTTACTTTTAATGCAGAAAAGACACCAGTATTTCATGCTGTATTTCATAACCATAAATTATTAAAATACTGAAGATAATATTTTTCACTTATTTTGGCCTAAAATAATACAAAATGATGAAAAACATGCTTAATACAAGCTTTGTGAGAAAGGGTTAACTGTTGCTTCATGTTAACCATGAATGAGATAAAAATTTAAAATTAGCCAAAAGTTTAGCTATTCTAATGAAATCTGTTAGGGCGAGTCTACGTCTAAGGAGCCATTAGAAATTATAATCTCATAGAATTTTCTTTTGAATAAAATTAATTTTATCTAGTGACATTTGGTATTACGATATTTCTCGCATAGACATTTACAATATGTTTTTCTACATATTACAAGTTTGTCCAATAGTTTTGACAAATATTTAAATTAATTCCCTGGTCACGTGTGGGACAAAGCATTGAAAAGCCCTTTATCTTTTTATCATATTAAAATAAGTGAAATCAACTTTTATGATTAAAAAAAAAAGATAATGGGACATTTTTATAAAAGTTGATTAAAAAAATTTAATTTTTTCCTATCCTTGCAAAGAAAACGATTGATTCACAACCGATTAGAGCGAATAACGAACAACTAAGAAAAATATGATTTCAAAGTGTAAATAAACTTATTAGGGAGTCAATATGTATTTTAAGAACAGAAATATTGTTTTTATTAAGCTGAGACTGTTACAAATTATCAACAGCTTCTAATATTAACCTGATAAAACTGGTCGCACTACGGACTTTGTCCAAATTAAAGCATATCAAATAAATATCTGCGTTCTACAATGTTCGAAAAAACTCCCGTTTTGGAATCTGAGATAAACAGTTAATATTCGCATGATTGATATGAATTGATAAATGAATTTTAAAAAAACTCTGTCGTCAGCTTAATATGAGTGAGTTATATTTTTATCTGAGCCAAATACGCCGAGAAATTTATGGGTCAAACAAGACTTATAATTATGCAGAAAAAAAAAATTTACACAGTGTTTTATAAATAGTTGTTAGGATAAGGAAAATAAATAACAACTAAATTAAAAAAAATGGGATTACTAACCAAGTATTTAAATAGGATAATTTATTGAAAACATGGAGGATTTTGGCCTTCCAATGAGGTGAACCTGGTTCGGATCCCCAGCGATGGCTGGTCGAAACGAATCCGAATCCGGCTTGCACTAACCACAGTGCTAACGTGAAATATACTCAGTGGTAGACGAATCATGGGTTTGATTACCTTTGCCGTCAGGCTAATCGTGGGAGGTTATCGTGGTCTTCCTCTCCATGTCACGCAAATGCTGGTTAGTTCCATCAAAAAGTCCTCCACGAACGCAAATTTCAGCCAATACTTGATTCATAAGTTCCCTCGTCTTTTGGATTGGGTTCTAAATTACAAAGCTACGGAGTTGAACATTCGTAGTCGTAAACCCAAAAAAATGGGTCTGCTGTTCAACGACGGTCATAAAANAGTAGAATTTCTTTTTCTAGTTATATTCGCCGTTTTAAGCAGAAACTGACCTTCTGTGCGTCTGGTTGGCGACTATTTGACGTCATTGACGTGAGCAAGGTCCGTTTGATTTTTGTATGAAACTGAAAAGTTTATTATAGCCCCCTTTCACTTTCTTTCAGTTCAATTTGGCAATCAATTTGATTTTGAAGCTTTCAGTTAAGTCTTCATAATTATTGTTCTCGATAAGGGTGCGTCAAATTTTGATTGGTTTTTTCTCATTTAAGTATTAATTTAGGATTCCAATGTGTTATTTTTTTACCTCATTTTAAAAAGCATTCTAAAAATATCTGTTGAAGTAGAAGTTATGAAAAACTCTCTCTTAGAAAATGAAAATCTGAATTCTTCTATTTTTGTTTTTATGCACCCTTGTCACCGAGTATTATAAGAATGTTTTCTTCTTTAACAAATACGTCAACATATTTCTAGATTTAGAATAATTTCTGAAATTTTCGATCGTTAGGAAAAGAATTATATTTCAAAGGTAAGGTATAATTTAGATATTTATATAGATTATCGTGTAAGATTAAAGAAAAATAAGAAAATAAACAACATGAAATTCTGTATGAAAATGCTTTTTGCTTACTTCATTTTTACATATAAAATGAATTTAAAATGGACACTAAAACTCAAAATGTCAATTATTCTTATCTGGAATACACTCTTATCATTCTAAACATTTTATCTATCGACTCTTTTCAAATTTTCCGAAAACACTTTTTTTATTTATCACCTTATTTTTAAACATAACTGCATTGATTTTAGATTTAAATTTGATAACAATACGTTTCAGTTGATTTCTTAGAACACATATTTTTATACATTTACCCAGAGCACAAAAAAAAGTTGACGTTCGTAAAAAGAAATCGTGCATATTTCGACAAAACCCATTATAAAGTTGGTACTTCTTCAATCAAGCGTTAGCATGTTATTCATAATTTATAAATGCTGAGCCGTGGTTGCTCAAGGGATAGAGCGTTCTCCTTTCAATGAGGTGAACCGAGTTCGAATCCCGGCGATGGCAAGTCGATACAAATCCACACCCGGCTCGCACCGATCACAGTTCTGATGTGAAAACATCCTCAGTGGTAGACGGATCATGAGTTAGAGTCCGGTGAGGCTAACCGTGGGGCCTTTTCGTGGCTTTCCTCTCCGTGTGACGCAAATGCGAGTTAGTTCCATCAAAAGTCCTGCACAAAGGCAAATTTAAAAAATATTTGATGCTGGAGTTCCCTTGTCTTCTGAATTAGGTGTAAAAATACAAGGCTATGGAGTTGAACATTAATAGTCGTATACCCAAAATTGGGTCTGGTGTTCAATGACGGTTATGAAATAAAATTTATAAGTGCTGAAGCTCTTTGACGTCTTCGGGATACGAACCATAGAACTTTCCAATGTCTGAGTCATAATGATGCTTAACTTATTTATCACATTTTGTAGCATTCCTATGGTATTATGTGTCGGAACTTAACTGAATGCAACTGATCGGCGCGGAACTGCAGGAATTTTATTATACCCTACAGTTTCTGCTAATTAAACTTACTACATATTCTTTTAAATAACAATTCAGGTGCCTTCTAAGATATTGCTCTTTTGCCAGAGATTCTGCAGTGTGAGATGGTGGGTTCGATTCCTAACGTATTTGCGATATCCTTCTAGAATTTATGCTATTTAATCTTCATGTAGACAAGAACTCATAAACCGTTCGAGCACACATATCTGCTGATTGAGTAATAAATGAATAAAAATTTTGAAATTACTCTGTCAGATGTTATTTTTCAATATTAAAGTGATTTCCTATGAAACTTTTCTACTTCAGATCAAGTAATATAATGACAAGCCACATTTTCAAATTTAGCAGGAAAGCGGTTTTGGAAAGTGGAAAACTTCACGATTGTCACAAAATAAGTTAGCAAAAAGTTGTTATATATTTTGCTATAGTCTAGCGGAAGTTCTGGAAACTTCTAAAGTGCCTATTTAAAACAAAACTAAAGAGCAGTTAGATGTAAAAATGCCACCTTAAGAAAAAGTTCAGTTTCTTACTATTATTGCCCCCAAGATCTTCAAATAACCTTCATCTGCCATTCTCTTGCTAGCTCTGAAATTTTACATTTACCTCGGAACACGAATCTCTGACATTTCTTACAGTTCAGAACTTAAATCTGTAGGCCACCTTGTCTAATAATAAAGAACATATAATTAAATTCTATACACACATTAAGTTCTTACTCACAAAGTGTCTTTATTCGTCACAGTTAATGCAACAAAGATAATTTCAAAATATAAAAATATTTCCAAAAGCGATTTTAGAATCGTTTGATTTAGTCGTTTGATTTCGTATTTGTGTTTGCAGTTTATAGTATTTAATTTTTATGAATAAAAACCTGTTATGATACTTTCCCAACAGCAATGAGTAAGTTGAATGAAATGTGGAAGTTTATTTTAATAACATTTTGTGTGAAAATCATGAATGTAATAAATCTTTTTTTTTTTAATTCAAAAGATGAAAATTTTTATTTGTAATTAGTAAGGCCCGGATTTTGATGACATTTGCATTTTTATGCATTTTTTGCATTTTTGGACATTTTTTGTCTTTTAGAGCATTTTTTTAGATTTATAGGGCATTTTTCTTTAAATTTTGGGGCGTATTTTGCATTTTAATGCATTTTTTAAAGTTTTTTTGTAAATTTTTTCCAATTTTTACTATTTTTTATCAATTTTCATTATTACACTGGCTTCCAAACAATGAAGAAAATCTATAGANTCACATTTTGTAGCATTCCTATGGTATTATGTGTCGGAACTTAACTGAATGCAACTGATCGGCGCGGAACTGCAGGAATTTTATTATACCCTACAGTTTCTGCTAATTAAACTTACTACATATTCTTTTAAATAACAATTCAGGTGCCTTCTAAGATATTGCTCTTTTGCCAGAGATTCTGCAGTGTGAGATGGTGGGTTCGATTCCTAACGTATTTGCGATATCCTTCTAGAATTTATGCTATTTAATCTTCATGTAGACAAGAACTCATAAACCGTTCGAGCACACATATCTGCTGATTGAGTAATAAATGAATAAAAATTTTGAAATTACTCTGTCAGATGTTATTTTTCAATATTAAAGTGATTTCCTATGAAACTTTTCTACTTCAGATCAAGTAATATAATGACAAGCCACATTTTCAAATTTAGCAGGAAAGCGGTTTTGGAAAGTGGAAAACTTCACGATTGTCACAAAATAAGTTAGCAAAAAGTTGTTATGTATTTTGCTATAGTCCAGCGGAAGTTCTGGAAGCTTCTAAAGTGCCTATTTAAAACAAAACTAAAGAGCAGTTAGATGTAAAAATGTCACCTTAAGAAAAAGTTCAGTTTCTTACTATTATTGCATATAATTAAATTCTATTTCTCTTTATTCGTCACAGTTAATGCAACAAAGATAATTTCAAATTAAAAAATGAAAAATATTTCCAAAAGCGATTTTAGAATCGTTTGATTTAAGAACTGTATTTGTGTTTGCAGTTTATAGTATTTAATTTTTATGAATAAAAACATGTTATGATACTTTCCCAACAGCAATAAGTAAGTTGAATGAAATGTGGAAGTTTATTTTAATAACATTTTGTGTGAAAATCATGAATGTAAGAAATTTTCGTCTTCTTGGTATTAGGGAAAAAACACTCTAAAACAATAAACCCAATCCAATAAAAAAAAATTTTTATTCAAAAAATGAAAATTTTTATTTGTAATTAGCATTACGATCTCAGACAAGCAAGTTCTAAACTAGATATCTCTTAATCTTAATAACTCTTTCTACAATAATTATTTTCAATTTAATTCGAACATGTGCTTATAAGAAATGCAATAAATAACAAGAAATCATTATAATTAATGAACTGTTTCTGTTTATACCACAAGAATAAATACGCTCTTTTAATACATGAACATTCTATGATAATGTAAAAAATGGCAGCTATTGCTGGTAATTTTCACGCTTTAGAGAAAAATTTATTGGTATGAAAGTTAATTGTTCAATATTTAATTGAAAAAATTATATTTAAAATTATTTCGACCACAACGTTACCTGAACGATTAAAAGATTTATATAGTAAATTCGAGCATTTTTAGGTGATATTTGAAGAGAAGGCGTGAGTAATCAAAATCCTGCTTTGAAATTTCAATTTACTAATACCGAAAGAAATCTACAAAATTCATAAATTGGCACTTTTGCTGTAAGTTTTTCGTCTAGACATTTTGTATGCTTTAAGTAAGGCAATTTATGTATACATCATCATCATCAAAATTTATCTGGGTGCCTGAGGCNATATTTTTTAAATGACTCATAATAATTTTAAAGACCGAAATATTTTTTTAATTCAATATTTTTGCTTTATTTAAGGCATTTTTTGCGCAATTTTTGCATTTTTAAGGGCATTTTTGGCCCTTTTTAAGGGCATTTTTTGCACTTTTTAAGGGCATTAGTTAAGATGTTTTAGGTCATCAAAATCCGGGCTCTAGTAATTAGCATTACGATCTCACACAAACAAGTTCTAAACTAGATATCTCTTAATCTTAATAACTCTTTCTAAAATAATTATTTTCAATTTAATTCGAACTTGTGCTTATAAGAAATGCAATAAATAACAAGAAATTAATGTAATTAATGAACTGTTTCTGCTTATACCACAGGAATAAATACGCTCTTTTAATACATGAACAGTCTATGGTAATGTAAAAATTGGCAGCTATTCTATTGCTGGTAATTTTCACGCTTTAGCGAAACATTTATTGGTATTAAAGTTAATAATTAAATATTTAATTCTAAGTTGAAAAAAATTATATTTAAAATTGTTTTGACCACAATGTTACCTGAACGATTGAAAGATTTATACAGTAAATTTGAGTATTTTTAGGTGATATTAGAAGTGAAGGCGTGAGTAATCAAAATCCTGCTCTGAAATTTTAATTTACGAATACCGAAAAAAAATCTACAAAATTCATAAATTGGCACTTATGCTCAAGTTTTTCGTCTGGACATTTTGTATTCTTTAAGTAAGGCAAAAATTTCCATAAGGTAATTTATGTATTCATCATCATCATCAAAATTTATCTGGTCGCCTAAGGCCGCTTGCGGAATTTATGTATTCTTATGTTATTATGTATATATATATATATACATGTGAATAGATTTTCACATATTTTATGTACTAAAATATTTCAAGATATTTTTTTTTTCAAATATATTTATTGCAGGCGTCAAGTGCCGTCAAAACCGTGGAAGCACCCAGTGTGTTAGGTCACTTTCGAATTAGTTCGAACTTACGTGAAAATAAATAAATTAGCTAATGCATACGGATAAAATATATCTAAAAAATAAATTATTCTACCATCAAATGATATTTCTTCTTCTTAATATGCTATTTCTTTTTTGAATTCATAATTATAGTAGAATTTCTTTTTCTAGTTATATTCGCCGTTTTAAGCAGAAACTGACCTTCTGTGCGTCTGGTTGGCGACTATTTGACGTCATTGACGTGAGCAAGGTCCAAACGATCCAAGTTGGAAGATTTTAATTTCTATTAAGAAAAAAAAATATATTGGGAAAACACCCTAACCAGTTTAAACTGCTCTTCTTCGGTTTTGCCTTTTGAAGGATCTCGTTTACAATATAACAGAGCCAGCTTTATATGAATGGTATGGAATGCCAAAATGTCAGTCGCCTTGCTTTATTTACTATGACCGCCATTTCTCGAGTTGAGATATTCATCTCGTGCGCGAAATCAATGTTATCGTCTGCTTAAACTTCTATTTGCGAGAGGTAAGATGTTTTAATAAATTGTATTTAGTGTTTATTTTCAGGAGTTAAATTGCTTTTTTGAAAAAGAATTTTTAAAACTGTGTCACTGTATTAATATATTTTTGTTGCTTTTAATTAACTTTTTTTTCAAATTCTCATTAATTTAATCCTCATTCAAATCGAACTTGTTTTAAAGCCATTCTTAAAAAATAGAAGAAAATCATGAACATTATTTTAATAGTATAAATCAATTTTTTTCTTATTATTTTAAATAAATAATATAATAAATAAACATTACTAAATTTCCCAATTTCTCTTTACTTAGAACATGTATTCAATGAAATGTTTTACTTATAAAGCAGTGTTATAACATTAAATATTATAATATTAAAATATTTTAATATTATAACTTAGTCTTTATTATAATATTTATAATAGCAATATTATAATAAATTAATATTATAATAGCAATATTATTTGCTTTATACATAAATAATATATATAATATTATAGTATAAAGCAAATGTTTTGCTGTTATTTTAAATAAATAATATAATAAATAAGCATTACTAAATCTCCCAATTTCTCCTTACTTAGATCATTTTGAATTCGAATATTTATTTTATTATATCAAATTTATTACATCAAATTTATTAAATCAAATTTTATTATATCAAATTTATAAAGCAGTGTTATAATATTAAATACTATAATATTAAAATTATTTAATATTATAACTTAGTCTTTATCATAATATTTATAATAGCAATAATATATATATTATAATAGCAATATTATTTTTTTTTACTTAAATAATATATATAATATTATTATAGTATAAAGCAAATGTTTTTTATTTTAAATAAATAATATAATAAATAAGCATTACTAAATTTCCCAATTTCACTTTACTTAGATCATTTTGAATTAGAATATTTCTTTAATTATATCACATTTATTACTTATAAAGTAGTGTTACAATATTAAATATTAAAATTGTTTAATATTATAACTTAGTCTTTATTACAATATTAAAATAATTAAAATCAAAATAAGAAATCTGCTTAAAAATACCGGTTCATTAATAAACTGTGACAGTTTCTATTATCAGAGTAAACGTGAAACGTTATTGAACGAAAATATGCATAATTTATTTGTATTTATGTATTTAAAGTTTCGTGAGAAAAAGGAAAATTAGCAAATAGTATTGATGAGATTGATTTAATTTCAGAATTTATATACAGTGTTTATTCGATCAAAATTAGAAGATTCGTCAATAAATGTTTTGTTTTATATTTCATAGTTTAATTTTTTCAATTAGTATTCAACTTAGAATTTTTTTTTTTTTTTTTTTTTTTTTTTTTTTTTTTTGAAGCATGCACTTTTGCTAAAATTTGTTACATTCAAAAATAGAATAAAATTAATGTATTCCAAAGAAAGGGTTTTTAAATTTATTATTAATAAAATATTTTTATATTGGGCATATCTTCATCGAAGTTGAGAATACAAATTTTAAATAACGTAACTTTTTAAAATTTGATAACTTAGAAATTATTCGACAGACTTCGTTCAAAAAACATTTTTTGTCATTTAAAGCTACACATTTTAAAATTATGTTTAAAAAAACTTGTAGACCTTACAATTCTTTTTTTCTACTATTATTAAAAAACATAATAAAAAATTACGAATAATTAAAAAATTTATTCTTTACATAGAATTATCATTAATTAAACTAGTTTTATAAATGCATGCAATCGCTTGAGAAGCTCACTATGCAAATTACGCAAAAAGTAAAACTAAAACTAAGGGATTCAATTTTTTTAACTCTATCTGGTCTAAACTACTAGATTTGAAATTTAGAAATCCAAATCTTACGAAAAATTATAAGTTCATTCAGATAGATTACGATTATGAGTCTAATTCCGTAACTTAAAATTAGAATATTAACCTTTAATTAATTAGAATATTAACCTTTAATTAATAAGAATATTAACCTTTCAGATTTAGTGTTCGTACTCGAAATTCTAATCATTAGATAAATGTTACTGAGAGTGTTCATTTTTTCAATTTTCTTTGGTGTAGATTTTAAATATGTCGTGTACTTTATTTTTATTCTTTGGTATAGTTTTTTTTATCTGAGTGAGACATATAAAATAAATATTTCCGCAAGATAGTGTGTTTGAACGAAATCGGATAATTTTCTTTCTTTCTCTCTCATCTTTGATTAAAAGTTGGAGTTAAAAAAAAAATTTAATAAATTCCAAATGTGATTTGGTCCTAATGTTTTTACATAAATATTTAAAAGAATTGTCGTAAACGTTTATTTACTTCGAAATATCTTTAATTTAATAAAAAATAGCTGGAAAAAATATTTCAAACCCTAAAAGACCTCCAAATATAAATTTCAAATCAAAAATTAAGATTGTAATAGCAGAAACTAGTGTAATAAAAGGCCAGTCATTTTATTATTGTAATTAGTTACAGAATCGGTCGACAAAAATACAACGATTGTTACTTGTATGCTGTTTCCAAGTTACCATGGTGCATCAAGGAGTTAAAACGCAAACTTTTTTTTTAAAAAAATCCTTACAAACCAAGAGCGTTCGCCTTCCAATGAGGTAAACCGGGTTCGAATCCCATCGGTGGACGGTCGATACAAATCCGCATCCGGCTTGCGCTGACCATAGTGCTGACGTGAAATATCTTCTAAGTGGTAGACGGATCATGGGTCATAGTCCCCTTGTCGTCAGGCTAACAGTGGGAGGGAATCGTGGTCTTCCTCTCCATATAACACAAAGGCGGTTAGTTCGATCAAAAGTTCTCCGCGAAGGCAAATTTCTCCCAATACTTGATCCTCGAGTTCCCTTGTCTTCTGGATTGGGTTCAAAATTACAAGGCTACGGAGTTGAACATTAGCAGTCGTAAACCCGAAAATTGGGTCGACTGGTCAACGACAGTTACAAAATATAAAATGAAATAATTAGTAAATAAGCAACACAATTTCGTTTGAAACATCTTGACAGTGCAGTTTACTTTTAAAATATTAAAATTTTATATTTTTAATTGAAATGTTCTCCACGGAATCAGTGACGAAACAAATTTTCACATCATTTAAAAAAATTAACTTAGCTTACAAGCCAAAAGCAATAATTAATGCAATTTATTTTGAGACATCTTAACAGAGCAGTCAAATTTAAAAATTGTTAAAATTCCTTATTTTTAATTTAATTGTTTGCTGCAAAATTAGTGGCAAAAATAATTTTTAAATTTTAGGAAATTAGCTCTCTAGCCAAATGCTAATAATAGGAAATGATTTTTTTTTATCTAATAATTACTTTATGCAATTTTACAGTGCGTAATAAACTTTTAATGTCTTATTTAGCTTGTTAAAATACTCATTTTTTCAGGTTTAAAAATAATTTAGCTTATGAGCCAAGTGCAAATGATAGGAAGAGCCACGATAGCTTAGGGGTAGAGCGTTCGCCTTCCGATGAGGTGAACGGGTTCGAATCCCAGCGATGGTTGGTCCACCATACAATTTCCGCATCCGACTTGCACCGACTACAGTGCTGACGTGAAACATCCTCAGTGGTAGACGGATCATGAGTTAGTCTCCTTGCCGTCAGACTAACTGCGGGAGGTTTTCGTGATCTTCCTCTCCATGTTACAAATATAAAATAAAATTTCAGGAAATAATTAATGCTTCAATAAAATAATTAATGCCCATCTTAACAGTGCAGTATAATCTTAAAGTTATTAAAATTCTCTGTTTTTCATTGTTGTTGTTGGATGTTCTCTGCAAAAAAGTTTTTTGAAATCAGCCTACCAGCCAAGTAGAAATAATAGGAAATGATTTTAAGTAATATTTTTTTATTATATATTTTTTCGATGTAAAATAATTTTTTTATTCTTACATTTAACTTGATAAAAACATATTTTTCTTTCAGGATATTCCTCTGTGAGCATAAACAATGCCATTCCAGATAGGTGGTAAATTGGGAGAGAGCAGTGAGTCATTGCCTGGTCATTTGCAGTGGACTCTTTCTAAAGATGTATTCCAGAAAGTCTTATCAGGCGCAACATGGTTGTCAAAATCTACTGCTCAACATGCTATAAACACCGAACATCAACCTTTATTAAAAGGAAGGAAAAGAAATTACTCTTACAATGAAATATATCAAGGTGCGTGTTTGTCTTATTCCAGTTTAAATTGATTTTTTTAATTAAGTTACATTTTCTTTTAAATTTTTAGAATTTGTTACTTGCATTCCCCAGTTTTTAAACCTGGTGAATAATAAATCTATTAATTATTACAACTCTTTATGTAACATCAGAAACTTTATAACATTATAAAAACTTACAAGAGACTTGCGTTTTATATCTCAATAATAGTTTCTGCCTTTTTCTACCCAGTCATATTTTTTACCTTCTTTTTTTAACCTCAGTCATAATTACTGTTTTTTTTTTTTTTTACCCCGTCATAATTTTTACTTATTTTTCCTCAGTTATAATTCCTACCTTTTTTTTTACCCCAGTCATAATTTTGACCTTTTTACCCTAGTCATAATTACTGCCTTTTTCATCCCACTCATAATTATTGCTTTTTTTATCCCTGTCACAATTTCTACTTTTTTTTTACCCCATCATAATTTCTTCTTATTTTTCCTCAGTTATAATTCCTACCTTCTTTTTTTTTTACCCCAGTCATAATTTTGGCCTTCTTACCCTAGTCATAATTACTGCCTTTTTTATCCTACTCGTAATTATTGCTTTTTTACCCTACTCGTAATTGCTTTTTGCCTACTTTATTGCTTTTTTACCCCTGTCACAATTTCTACTTTTTTTTACCCCATCATAATTTCTTCTAATTTTCCTCAGTAATTCCTACCTTTTTTTTTTACCCCAGTCATAATTTTGGCCTTTTTACCCTAGTCATAATTACTGCCTTTTTTATCCTACTCATAATTATTGCTTTTTTTATCCCTGTCACAATTTCTCCTTTTTTACCCCAGTCATAATTTTGGCCTTTTTACCCCAGTCCTCTTTTACACTGGACTTAGTTCAAAACACCGTTGATTCAATTTACCTTGTGTAAGCAGTAACGTTTAGCAGTGAGGTATAGCTGATTCTAAAGTAAAGCCGATTAACTTCAGGGTCAACTCAAATGGACTATACAAATTATTACTAATCACGAATTAAAAAAAGTTTTTTTCAATTAATATATTAAAGTTTTTTTTTCAATTAATAATTAAAAAATCTTTTTTCATAATCATGCTCCAATCAATCTAGAAAACCAGATATATAATAAAAATATGCTGAACGGCGGAGATTGGTTCCTTGTCAAAAGTTTGCTAAAATAAAATATTTCGATTTTGTTATTTGTTTGACAGAATTAAAATATTCATTTAGTAAGTTAATTAAAACATTTTATTCCCCAAAAAAAAGTCATTATTTCAGCTATTTCGAAGAATTGTTTTTCTGAAAAATACAAGATTTGGTAATCAAAACTCTCGTTGAAAATTAGGAAAACTTTATTTTAATTGGTATTTAACAGAATTTTTATTTTTCCTTTAAGTTTTGAGATAATTTTTTTTATTATTTTTATATATTAAACATAAAACAAATAAATTATAAAGCGATAAGTTATTTTCGAAAAAATTTGAATGATATTTACTTTTCTTTTTAAATAAAGTTATTTATTCTTTACGTTGTATTATATACAACCGCAAAGCTGGGAGCAGATATACTATATATACTATGTACATCTGCTCTCGGTCACTGAAGCTATTTTATCGTTCCAATCATATGTCTGCTTTAAACTCTGGCATTTATCTATTAGCAACACTATAGTTGTTATTCCTTTTGTTAGGTTGTCTTAAGTAATAATTAGTGAAGTGTTGAATAATTAGTTATACGTCAAGTAATTATTTATAGTAATTTTGCGTTTTTATAGAAATAATAAGCTTAGTTACAAAGTATTTATTTTAGATCCGTTCATTAATGTTGTTTTCTACATTGTTGTAAAAATGGTTGGAATATTGTTTAAAACTAATTAAGGGGTTAGGATTGGAGGAGAGGTTGAAGAACTTGTATATTTAAATATAGTTGTGCTGTGCATTCGGGTTGAGTTTATATATTGCACCACAAGATAATTTGAAAGGTGACAAACTGGGTCTTGAAGGTGACATATTGGAAGGTTACGCATTATGTTTATCCAACAAAGATCAATTCTAACGCGTATAACAACTTCAGGGACAGATCAAGACAAATTTAGGCCCAGGGACCACAAAATTTTCCGGGCCCCTAATAAATTATTTTGAAATTAAATTTCTGAACAGTAGTTTTAACAATAAAAAGAATCTATTGAAGTGCATGATTCAAGAGAAACATTCTAAAAAATTTTGAAAGCAGACAGTTGAAGATTATTTTTTTAAGATAAAGTTTACGCATCTAAATATTAAATCAAAATATAAAATGTTGCGTGAAAATAAAAATAGTTTGGTGACCACAAACAAGTGAAATCAGTGATTTTTGCTAAAAGTCACTGATTAGCTGAATTATTTTGAAGATTGTAGAATTCCATCTACAGCTTTACATATTTGTTAAGAATAAGCTTTTAGTTCTTGTTGACACTAATCATTTATAAGAGACTTAGCGAATATGCATTCTCGTTGCATCTGCTTAAGCTGTTGGAGTAAAAATTGCACCAACTAAAATCCAGCTGTACTTACGAATTTGATAAGTGCCATGTCTACACGAGTTTGGTTTATTACAATATAACGAAAATTTGAAATTAAAAAAATGCCTTTTTTGATAAAAAAATAAAATAAAAAACTGTTTCTTTCAGTATTTAACAGAAAAAAGTAATATTGTAAACTTTTTACTAATTTTCGAGGCCCCCCCAGAAAGTGTTGGCCCGAGGCCCGTGCCTATCGGGCCTAATCGATAATCAGGCCCTGTGAATAGACTAAATACGACCACAAAGGATTTACATATAGCTTTAAAATTAAATAAATGAAATGTTGCTTTTAAAATTGCTCCCTCAAAAGTATTTTTCTAAATTAAAACTTTTAAACTTCTAGATTTTTCCGGTTGCTTACGTCATTTCAAATTGAAAACGCGCAAAAAATATCAATTTAGTTAGCAATACGGTGCCTTCTAAAATATGTTTTTCACTGATAAAATATTGACTTATAACATATTCCATTGCTTGTTACATAATATAACCTTGTTTTCAATGAGAAAAATTTTGGTTTTTGAATAAACGTATTCTATTTTGTTGTGAAACATTGCAGTATGTTACCTTGCTACAGGAGGTTTGGAATTAATTCACAATAACAGGAAATAAAATGTAAAACTAATGATCGTTTATCTGCATCGATTTCTTTTTCAAAAACATTAATTTGATGGATCGCAGAAAGAAAATAAACTAGACGTTGTTATTAGGTACGTATTTTAGGAAAGGTCAACTTCTTGATGCGACACATTTTCTTTTCATGTTTTGTTTTAAGGGATCAAGGTTTTTATCAGCGGGTAATTTCGACTTTCACTTAATAAAGAACCGCTATATTCCGGTTTTTGCTGGTTCTGGCTAGAGTATTGACTCAGAAAACACAGATTGTTTAAAAACTCTATCATCGTGTCCTCAAATTCCCGATTGTTCAATTTTGACACTAATCAATTTAGATTAACTACTTGTTATCTTTTAAAGGCTTGTTGTCATTGAAATGGTGCAACGTCATGAAATCATAATGAGCTATATTTTATCTAGGTTTATTTTCTTCGTTTCTTTTTATTTATTTTATTGATTTAGTAATAATAATTATTCGTATTTTGAAAAATACATTTCCACTGACAGTAGGATATGGTTTCCCGATTCGAGAATAAAAATAAGACCAGCTCGGGCTCGTTTACTTAAAAAAGGTTTCGGGCTTGGACTCAAAAAATTTTCATAAACTTTTTTACTATTTTTGAAATAAAGTTTTGTTAAGTATAAAAAATTTTGAAATTTATTAGGTATAAAAAATTTCAACGATTTGCCACTTCTGTTGCTTTTGGTTTACAAGACTAACACTAATTAACAAATGATTTTCATTCAGCTAAAGATTTTAAATTTTCTTTTTGCACCGCAAAATTTGGCCTTTATCTGACTTACCTACATCTCGGGCTTCAAATAATTCTACGTTTCGCTGTCCCAGGTAGGCTTGCATAAATTCTTCGGGCTCGGATCTCCAAAAGCGAGCTCAATCTCATCTCTATTCGAAAGCAAAAGCAATTTTTGCTAAACAGGAAAACACGGACATGATCTTATAAACCTAATGCATATTGTATTAGATCATTTTTTAAAGACGAAAAAATGTGTAGATATAATCTATAGTCTATAGTAAAAAAAATACTATTGAGATTTTAAATATTTCTGATTGTGGCGTGCTCTTTAAAAATATATATATAGTGCTAATATTGGAAAACGGTGAAGGAATATTGCAATGAGGCTCTAAAAGAGCTGTACTTAAAAAGGAAGAAGTTAATACTAAATTTTTAGCATAAATATTAATAACTTAAATTCGTGTAAGATTTTCGAAAATTATTTTGCTTGAACAAATTGTTTTCAACAAGATAAATTTGTTGTTAATTTATATTTAAAAGCGTACAAAAATCGTAAATATATAGTAGATTATAACAGGGTGCGTAGCCAAATCTTTCAACAAAAAATAAGCACCTTATAAGTATTTTTTAAGCACCCAAATAATATTTTTAAGCTATATACATTAACAAAATATGAACTTTAGATGATCATGAGAAAATAACTAGTTTCTGACAAACAACTCTTTTCTTGATTATATTAGCCGTTATAAAATGATCGATTTTTCGGTTCGATATCAGAGGGTGGAAAATGAAGTCTGAAATTGTGAATATTTTTCAAAATACAGCAGAGTTGCACATGAGAAGGCAATAATCTCACCGAACCCAGCTCAGTAGATGCACATACGGACTCGCAAGTATTTCATCAAACATGTGAAATGATTGTCGCTTTTATACGCTATGGACCGACGGTAAGCCGAAATGAATTTGGAAAACGTTGAATAGAACAATGAGAAAAGCACGCTTTTGCATCATACGTGGTGAAAATCGACATAGTAATGGGGAAAAAATCTCATTTTTGAAAATGGAAAATTAAGCACTTTTTAAGAACACCCAATGTAAAAAGCACCTTTAAGGGCTTTTAAGTAACGAAAATCGAAAATAAGCACCTTTAGGCACTTTTTTAAAAACGCTAGGCACCATGTATAAATATATTTCTGAATTGTATTGCTATTTATGTAAAGTATACAGATTATTCCATTTTTGATGATTTTAATCGCTCTTTTTCAATTCAAATTCCTTTTTCGTTTTTTCGCTATCCCGACCTAAATTATTTTTAAAGCNTACTTTGTATAATACCTCCCCCCCTCCCCATCATACAAAACCGTACAAAATAGCAAATCCCCTCCCCCCCCCTTCGGAATGTACGTACTTTTTGAACGGCCCCTTACTCACATTTCCAAACTGACCGATGAACAAAACTTTAAAGTTTTCGAGTTATACTTAGATAACGCTTATTAATAAACAAACATATTGATTATAAGATATTAAAGCGCTTAAGTTTTAAATTTCTTTAGACATTTGGAAATAAGTTTATTTCCTAGATGGTGATGGGAGAGACTTGTTAACACGCCTGTCACCGGACTAGACCTCTCTGTCGTTAAATCTGTCGGGTCACAAAGTCCTCCATGTTTCAATAAGAAATTATACTTCTGGGGGTACTGAATTGGAGATGGGCCGTTCTCTGGTTCAGGTCAAAATGACGATCTGTGGATGCATGAATGGATCCCCCCAACAAACGGGTGTGACAGAAGTCGAATTCTTGGCCATAGATGGCACCCTGGAAAACAATAACAGTCGCACCCCTTTGCCTTAATGACCTAAGACAACCGTGACCTACGAACAGTACAAAAAGTACTGTTCGATTACTTGACTCATAGAAATTGTTCTACTTAATTTATGCCTCAAAGAATGTTTCTGAAAATCTAATTTCCATGTTTTTCTTTTCTTTTTTTAAAAAAAAAAATTGTTTTGGTTTTTCTATTCAGACATTTAGGAAGTGTTTCTCGTTCCCCCTTCCACAAAAAAAAAAAATTATAATAATGTAAAGTCCTGAGAGCGTTAAAGGCTAACACGTGCTGGGGAAAGTAAAACATACAACTACGGAATTTTCGTAGTTCCTACAAATTTTCGATTGTAGCCATGGATCTGCAAGAAACTTTCGAAAGTTATAGGAAAGACTAATTTTGCTTTTTATGTTTCATTATCGTACAATTCTTTTAAACTTCTAAAAAAAAAATATTCAAAAAAAATCTTTTTTAATTTACTGTTTTGTAGCTTGGGAAAAAGTTCCTTTTCTTGGCTTTTAGATTAATATAATAATTTATTAGAAATTAAATTCATATCTATCTACCAGATACTTTTTTTGGAATCGACATTTTTTGTTTGGAACAAAATGTAACTTGAAATCAAAATAAATGTTACATCCACATTTTAATGTTGCTAACGACGGAAAGTATTTACTCCGAAAGATTCACAAAACTACAAATACAAAAGCTAAATAATATAACTACGGAAAAGCATATATTCAAATTATTTTTCGTTCATTAATTTAATGCAACGCCTTTTGAACTAGTATCAGAACTATTTTGAGTTTGTTGAAAGATATTAAATGCGAGGTTTTATTGAATTTGTATCAAACAGTATACGTGGGGTATTTTGCACCAAACACGAGGGAGGTTGTGTTTTTCTGTCTTTAACTGCCCCAATCTTTGTCATTCTAGCTAAGTCTGAAATCAACTCATCCCGTTTTGCAGCTCAGAATATCAATGCCAGGAGAGCGCTGTGGCCATCAGTTAGCAACCTACCTTTTACGATATCTGCTCATGAGCCTGTAACCATCTCTGAAGTATGCAGAACTGTCACACCTATCATACCACCTATTCCAGAAGATCACGAAGGTATATAAGTACTTTTATATATATAAGTATACGGTCTAATTTTACTCCGATGTCATCAAGTATCCATTAGCAATCTATTGGCATTTATCTATTGACGATCGAAACGGGCTGAAGGTTGCGCATAACAAAATTTTTTACCCATAGCAACATAAGGCATACTTTTACCATTAGCATAAAAGAAAAACGCTCATTTCTTTCTTGATTTATAAATCAATTAAGAAATTTTAAGCTTGGAAACTATGGAACTCAAAACTGCATAAAGCATAGTGCTTAATATAAGTATCATGGAAGTTTTAAAATATATTTTTGATATTCTAACTGCGAAAAATATTATGGAGGAGAGAAATCTCGTACTATATTGCTATATATCTGAGAAGAGAGAAGGGGGTAGGATGTAAGCGTGAAACCGGTCTTGATTTATAAATCTCCCCAGGTGGCGTGTTCGAGCGTTTCGATCGCGAATAAAAAAGCTTTGTAATGTGAATATATTAGAGAAAAACGAAAATCAAATTTAACTAGATGAAAAAAAATCCAATTATCAGCATTAAACATTATTTCTTAAAAATTATAGGACCTGTTGGAAAGAGTTTCGCGGTATCCTAAATTCTTGCAAGTTCGTTTCCAGTTCCAGAATTGAACAAATCGTGTCTTGGTGCTTTTTGAAGTCGCGATCAATAATTCCGAAAGCTCTGAAATAAGAGCATTATGCCAATAATATTGTGGAAAGTAATGTCTGGAAGCTTCTTGTGTAACACCTGGCAAAACGATAAGGAAAATTAAAATGATAAATTTGTAAAAGTATTATAAAACACAGAAAGTATCTTGAGTATGTGAAGCCATTCCGAAGCAACTCATTACTGAAATTTTTTAATCGTAGTTAAGTATTTCTTTTTTCAGTTTTTAACTAATTTAAATACATTTAATAATTCGAACATAATGCTTTGAATTTAACTACAGGAGTTAACTGGGTCACAGCAGCATTTTTGCTGGTCAATGCAGCGCTTGGTATAGGAATTCTGAATTTTCCAGCTGCGTATGATTTAGCAGGAGGAATTGTATCAGCAACATGCACACAATTAGTAAGTAGTGAAATAACATTTATTTACTATTTTATTATTAACATTATTTCATTATTATTAGCATGAAATAAAAACCAATTCATAATATTTATTTCACGAAAGAACAATAAAAAAATAAAACTTTTAAAGACCAAATTAGACCTTAAAAAGATCAAATAATTCTGTAATTGTCAGATCAAATACATAGAGAGCAGCACTTTTGTAATATACTTCCATCAAATCCCCCAACATCTGTTAAAAGTAATGCTTACGTTGTTCCTGTTAGATCTGTCATAAGCAAAATTATTTTCTTCCCTTTAAGTCTACTATAAAAGCGTAGTTTTTTTTTCTCTAAGTTTCTCTTAAGCTATCTGACAAATCGGTTATTTGTAAAAAAAACTTCTTTTGAAAAAAAAAATTATTTTGCTTGTAGCATTTAGGAAACAATTGTAACATATTTGACAACAGGCATAGAACTCCATCGGCGATAAATTCAACTTCTTGCAATCAGAAAACCAGGGCAACTCAAAATTGTCAACAGACCCCGAGCGCCAGTTAAAATTTGATCACTACATGTGGTTGAATTTTCTATTCACAATTCCTATTTGGTAATGAGTTCTACCAGCTGCAATCAGGAAACGATGAAGCACAGCACTCAAGCACAACCTTCGGCTAGTTGGAATTTGACTAACGATTAGTTTATTTGGTGATAAAATAACAGAATATCTTGTTTGAAATGGTCAGAAAACAATGAGAAATTGTATTGTCATCCAGCACAAAACTCTAGTTCAATTTTGAGTACTCTAGCTATTCTTTACGGGGTCGGAATTTCGATTGATTAGATTTGGTGATAAAATGACAAAAACTCCTACTTATATATATAGATTTTAGATTAAAACTTAGATTGTCATCTGGCACGGAGCTGAAGTTAAAATATGAGCATTCAACTAGTCGGAAAGGGTTCGAAGTTTCAATTGCAAAATTCCATAAATATAGACACGAAAAGAAGCTTTAAAAAAACAATAATTGAAAACTCTTTTAAGAAAATTGACTATTGTAAACCGGAAATCGCAAATTAAACATGCAAAGCTGAGTATTGCAAATTGAACAAAAAATATTGCATATTTGACATTAAGTTAATCAAATAAATCCTACCTGCCATGAAAACTACGTCAGAACGATGCGACATTTTCAATAAAAATAAATCAAAAATTGAGACCGCTTATTAATAACAAATCAAGGCTGTTTTTAAGGATTTATTTTATTCATATACACATAGACACAAAATGCACTGTTTTTGTCCGTTCTGTAATTTTTTTTAAAAGTCTTTTGAGAAAATAATTTTTTAATTATACAAAATAAAAAACGCTTTTCCGGGAACTTTTTCGCTAGCCCATATTTTACAATATAAATTAAAATCCTTCTTTTTCCCTCGCTCCTTGGAGTTCTAGAAATTATTTTTTAAAATAGGTATCCGCAATAATTTAAATTATCACGAAGTAATGGTTCTGCGACGTTTGTATGAAATAAATGAGGGCAAACTCACAGGAATGTTTTTTCTTTTATAGGTAATGCTAGTACTTATAGTACTAACAATGCTCATACTTGCCCATTGTTCTGATGTCAATTTAGATGTTACATATCACGATGTGTTGCTGTCAATGTGCGGAAGGAAAGCGCAAAAATTGGCAGCTGTCTCTATATGTTGTACTTGTTACGGTGTATGTGTTGCCATTTTCATCATCATTGGAGATCAGTTAGATAGGTGTAAGTACCAAAACTTATTCATGTACAAAACTGATTATATAGTCAGGGTGCGTAGCCAAATTATTCAACAAAAAATAAGAACTTTTCAAGTACTCAAAAAATATTTTTAAGCACTTAAAAAAATATAGTAATTAGGCAAGGTCGGAAAGTTTTTGACAATTGACGGTTTTATCTTGTTTTAACCGTCCCGTAGGAAGAAAAAAAACTTATGGCATTGTTTTTGACAATTGTCAAAAATCATGAAATTTTGAATCTTTGAATCATGTAAAACGAATGGCGTTTTCATACGCTACGGACTGACAATACGCCGAAATAGATTGGCGTTGAATTAATTAAGAAAACGTTGGATAGAACAATGTGAACTGTGGCTTTTTGCATAATTCGTAGCGAAAATCTCATTTTGAAAAAGGGAAAATTAAGCACTTTTTAGAAACACCCAATGAAAAAAGCACCTTTAACCTCTTAACGATCTGTTCAAGAAAACGGTCATAAAAGTGCCTATTTTTCTTGTCTTTTGTATTTGTATTACGTATTTGATTAGTGCCGGCATTTAGTTTAAAATAAACTATCTAAAATTACCTTAAAAATATCCTGTTAAATGAGAACTGAGAAATAAAATGTTGACTGGCAAATGCTGCTTGGCGAAAGAAATGAATTAGTTTTATTCTTATAGGCGCGTTACTACAGAACACTCCAGCCCGTCAATATAACGAGAGCGAGAAATAGCTGGCGAAAGCTCACCCCCGTTATTTTCACGAGAGCGAGAAGGAAGGGGTTAAGAGTTTTTAAAAAACGAAAATCAAAAATAAACACCTTTAAGCACTTTTTAAAAACGCTACGCATCCTGATAGTTTGTCTTTTATTGTAGCTTGTTGCAAAATCAACCGGGGATTTTTTTTTAAAAAAAAAACAATAACGCTAAATAGATTAGCCTTAAACATATTCAGTCCTTAACATTCTAATTTTGAATCCGACTCAGAAAACAAGAGAACCGTAATCTAAGTAAAATGTATATATAGTAATTAGAGATAATGCTAAGTCTAAGTAAATTATAGGAGCAAACTTGCTTTCAATGAATTGAGTAAATCGAATTCGTTATAAAGGAAAAACCTCTCAGTGTTAGCTCAGCGTCATTTATTACCTTATACCACTGTAATCGGAATTGGCCACAACAGTACACGAATCAAACAGATAAACGTCGAATTACGAAACCGAACCTCTGTCTGTTCAGTCGGAACTGAGTCATTGTTAAGATATTGTCGTGAAAAAAGACGTAAATTAGACGCAAGTAGACAAGTACTTAATTATAAACCACCTAACTATGCTGAATCAATAAATTTATAAAAAATGTAAGGGAGATTTAACTTAATTTGAAGAATAACACTGTAATTTCCAATTGTTTATCCATAAATCTGTAAACTAAAGTTACTGGTGAAGAGTATATTTAATGCTCGCTTCCGATGTTATGGCTAATGAATTCGTATTTTGCTTTTATATGAAGTTCCCAGTGAAAAGTTTTCATTCAAATTGGATTAAAAAATCGTAGACGTTAGAAAACTCATAATCCGCTATTGTGAATAGGTGGTCCACTGACGATAAATATGTTCTAAATGATCGATTTATAGCTAATCATATTCCAAAGTTGGTTAATCTGATTAAGTAAGGAGTTTATAAACCTGGTAATATATTTCTTACTCTTATTTATTTCTGAACAATTTAAATTGCGGTATATTTTTAACAAAAAATGGGGAGAACGTTTCAAGTTAGTTCATCGAATCATCTTCAGTGAAAAATACAAATCACAGGAGCTTTGATAACACTTCAGTAATAAACAGAACAGTAGATAAACTAGTTATAGGTAAAGATACTTAAAAGCAGTAAAAAGTTTTCATTGTTTTCCCGTCCATGTAACACAAACTCGGAATGTCATTTAGAAAGTGAATTTGTCCTATTTCTTGATTAAATTTTTCCAAATCGGGTTCAAAAATCGTAGACATTAGGAAAGATTTAAAAACTCGTAGTCTATTCTATGAATCGGTGGTTCACTGACTGTAAATATGCTCTTAAAAATCCATTTATAACTATTAATGTTTCTAAGTTGTTTAATCTGAATAATTTAGGATTTCACAAACCTGGTAATTAAAATTTTAAGTGTTATCCTTATTTATTTCTGAACAATTTAAACTGCGGTATATTTTTGACAGAATGACATATTTTTGACAAAATGACAAAAAAAGGGGGGGCTTTAAACTAGTCCAGCGAACCATCTTTAGTGAAATATGTTTACAGGAGCGTTGATACAGGAGCGTTGATAACAATTCAGTAATAAACAAAAGTAGATAAGTTGGTTTAGGTTAAGCAACTTAAAAGTATTGAACACTCGTTTCGAATTTGGAATATCTTAAACAATTATTTGTAAAACGGCAGAAAATATCTTGTTACTAAGCAGATCTGTTGCATACTATAAGTGCAACAAACTTTGAGTAACTCTGACACCTGTGCAACATTTTTTTCGATAGTTTAATCAGCATGTTATAGCTTAATATCATTTTAATAAAAATAGCCAGATGTTCAAATAGACACTTTATTTGCTATCTGCAAATTTCATCATTAGCGTTTTTTATTCAGTTTCACTTTATTATCAGTTTTTTTCCCCTTCCCTCAATGTGTTTTTTAGACATCATATAATCTGAAATGACTAATATTTATTTTTTAAAGGATGCATCAAAATTGAATTCGTTTAAAGCTATTTAAGGCTAAAATAACCAGAAAAATTAAAAACATAAGTCAGTATAATTTTTTCAACAAAAATTTTTTTTTATAAATTTAGCAGTTGTTTTTACAATTAAAACAATCAGATTTATAAATACATTATTCTACATTTTCAATAAAACTATTCAATCTGAACATTTTTATTATTATTATTTAACTAGAAGGCTCCGCCCCTGCTCGCTTCACTCACCAACCCCGTAATTGTTTCTCATTCCTCATTCATTCTTCTTTTTTTCTCTTAAAAGTCAATATTTTCCACAAAAAGAATATTTTGTTAACAAAATATACAAATATTTGCAGTTTTATATTAGAAAATTTTGTATATATGTTAATCATAACAAAGTAAAGTATTATTATTTAGAGAAAAAAATCACGAAAAAAAGAGCTTAAAATTGTCATAACTTTGGAACAATTTGAAAAAAAAAAGTTTCATAAAGAAATATTACCCTTTCAGCACGTAAAATTTTAAATCCGTAGTTGTATTTCTGCGGTCTGTAGAGTGGCCAGACTGTTAAAGTTTTACAGCTAATATTTCGTTGAATATTAATTTTTTAACTAATTATCGAATATTAATTTTTTTTAATTTTATCATTTACCTTTTTCTACATACCGCCGTAATTTGAAGTCTAACAGTATTTGTGTAAAACAAAATGTGACGTGGCCCCCGAAACAGCGGGGGGGGGGCTTTTACGATTTTTTAATATGGAGGGAAAAAACATTTAATTTATTTGTAGTGGCCCTTTTTATATTTTAAGATTTTACATTATTATCTTTGACTTCGCCGAAAGATCATCAAAAAAAGAAAATGAACGCTAAATCTTTCTTGCGCTTACAATAAATTGTCTAATTAACAAACGAAAATAACTATGCTGTTAGGAAAAACATCCAGTCTGGTTCGCAATTCTGTGATACATTATTTGAAGATAGTTTTTTTTATTTATCCAGTTTAAATTCATAAAACTTAAAAATCTTTCAATTCTCTTTTATTTTACGAACTCTTAATTTACTTTTTAAATTTCTTTTCAGTATTTCTAGCGGCTGTAGGTTCGACATTTTGCCATCACTGGTATTTGGAGCGTCATTTCACCATTCCAGCTGCCTCTATATTCCTCATTTTACCCATCTGTTATTTCAAAAGAGTAGATTTCCTCAGATATGCGGGGTAAGTTTCAATATTTCGACGTGGAAGCAAAATCTCTACCTTTATAATAAGTTATCTAATGAAATGTAATTTGTTATGCAGGGTGTTTCGTACTCACCACCCTTAATGCATATTTTTAGAATCCCGGTCAAGCATAAATGTAAAAAGCATGCTCATTAAGGATCGCAAATTAATATTTAAGGGGAAACAAAAACTATACCAAAATATGAGGAATCACTATAGAAAAAAAAAAGAAATAACCTGTTTGATTGATAGATAAAATTGAATAAAACTAAAAGTGATTGTAAAAACCGAAAAAAAAATTTTCAATTGATCTAAATGGCCTTGATGTTTCTAATTCTGCCCTCATTAAAAATGATTTGGCATGTTTTAAAAACTTTTTTTTTTTGTTTACGTAAAAATTCATTTACAATCCTTTTTTTTTTTTTTTTTCACTAAGTTTTTAAAAATATTTAACTCTTTGGCGCATAATTTTTACTGAACGTATTTTTCATACTTTTTTTATTACTTTGTATTCATTTAGGTCAAAATAAGTGAAAAATATTATTTTTAGCACTTTAATATTTTATGGTTATGAAATACAGCATGAAACACTTGTCTTTCTCTGCGTTGATGGTAAAGTCTTTCAAAAGCAGATACTACTTCCAAACAATAATTTTTCAAATTTGCACTTATTTGCAGTAATTTAGATCTAAAAGAAACAGTTATTCATCATTGAAATTTCTTTAATTTAAAGAATCAGTTATTGATAAATTTTTAAATATGAATGAAGAAAAAAAAAACTTTTTTCTATTTTTTATAACTATATTTCATTATTTTCTAACTATTTTTTATAACTTATTTTAGAACAAATAGAATTGTGATAATCTAACAGATTATTTTTAGTAATTATTAGACTGTTTTTTTAAAAATTTTGAAACACCAAACTAAATTTTTGCTTGTTATTAGAGCAAAAAAACAAAAAATATATATATATAAGGAACGTGTGTGCCTCATCTCCATCAAAGTATTAAAGGTGATGATTGTAGAAAACTTTTTATAACCTATTATTTATCATTTTGTTTTAACTGGTAAAGAGTAATTTTCAAACGAATTTAAAATAATAATAATTACATTTATTTCTATATACAAGCTGGATTATTTTTTTAATGTCCCGCTACTGCTTTATAAATGTGTCATAATTTAAATTTTTGTTGTTAAGAAAACAACAAAAAACAAAATTTCAGTTTTCAAAGACTGAATAAGAAGAGCATTAAGGATGTGATATTTAATAAATAAAATTTTTTTCCAGATCTCTCGGTATTTTTGCAATGTTATATCCAGTGTTTTTAACTGTTTATGGCTACTTCAAATTGGATATTAAAGATGTTCATGTTAAAACTGCGTAAGTTTTACTATAAATTTTCAAGTATTGTGTTTATTAAAAGTAAAAACACAAATATTTATCAAAAAAAACTTTCATATTTAATAATATTTTTTTTTCATAGGCCTGATAGTATTCCTAAATTCTTTGTTGTTATTCCTGTCCTGTGTTTAGCATATCAGGTAAACAAATTTTTAATTCTAAAAATTATTTTTGTTCATTTAAAAGTTGCTGTATAATTTTAACAATCATCAGTTTGGTGTACGGAATGAGTAATACCAGCATAAATTAATTGCCTCACTCCCTTTATAGTTCTTAAGAGACAATATTTATCTTCAAAATTTTAAAAACGTTTTTTTTTTTTCCTTAAAGTATATTTTACAAACATAAATAAGTTTTCAAGATATTAATTTTCAGAGACTGAAAAAGTTATTGTCTAAAAAAATATCCTACCTATATAAATCAATTATAACTCTTAAAGTGTAGATATAATTGCCTTAAAAAATTTACCATTGGTAACCACTAAAACTCTTATAATAATAAACTTTCGTTTCAGAAGAAATAGATTTTGAACGAAATGTCAGCTGTTAAAAGAATAGAAACTTTTGCAGAAATAGAAATTCATTTTTTATTGATAATAATAAAGGTTTAAAATTAAAATTGAGAATTTGAACAGCTGTAGTTTTGTTCAAAAATTGATTTTCCTAAATTGAATGACTTATCCCAAGATGAAAGTAGTTTTGAATAGGTAATAAAAATTCCAATATGATTTGAAAATCATTCCATTAATAAATATAATTTTTTTAATAATTTTAGAAAATAGCATTTATTTATTAAAGTTATGATTTATTGAGACGTGGTCGAAAACTTTTCCGAGCTTTGTAATTTTTTTTTTTTTTGGGGGGGGGGATGAATCTGCTTTTAAACAAACCTGCCATCTTTAAATTTTTGAAGAAAATGCAATAAAAAATTTCTGATTTTTAAATATTTGTATGTTGTAAGTAGATATTGTTTAGTTAAGTTCGATTTCGTTATGAAGTATGCTCTTCCTCTCAGACCATTATTAACAGCATAAAATTTTTATTTCCTCAGCATAAATCCATCTTTCAAGAAGAAAAAAATTAAAACTTTCTGTTTATTACAATTGAAATTTCGCCGATTACAGCACCAAAATAATGTCTTTAATTTATCCCATGGTAACTAAGTATGAAGTTATGTTTTATTTCTTAACCGGCGTGGAACAACAGCGAAACTCAATTTTGAATTTACTACTACCAATGTTCAACGCCGTAGCCTTGTTATTTTGATCTCAAGTCAGGAGGCAAGGGATCTAGCATTGTGACAAACTAGTCTCTTTGGAGGACTTTTTGATGGAACTTAAGCGCATTTGCGTTTTGTGGTCCTGAAAACTACGAAAACCTCCCACGATAAGCCCAATGGCAAAGGAATTAAATATAAATTTTGAAATTATTTACTAATTAACTATTCAGTTATTGCTATAATGATTTTTTACGATGCTGTTATCAGTAAGTGTACAAAAAAGCCATACAACGCATAATGTAGGTTCGGCCCTTTCAAGTAATTTTACAATCGTAAAAAAAAAATCAGTTATTTTTGCTCTCTAGAGGAAAAAAATACATTTTTTTTCCTCAGAATCTTTCTTCGACTATATCTTTTGACATGCTTATAATCATAATTTTACAAGCTTATAATTATGAATAATATTTGTATTAACTAAATCATTTTCCTTTATAATATTTTTTGATAGTGTTAATTTTACTATTTCCAGTGTCAAGAAGTAGTAGTACCAGTATATGCTTGCATGCGAGAACGAACTTTGAAAAACTTGACGAAATCCTGCTGTCTGTCAATGGTTTTTCTCTTCTTAATTTATTCAGTCATTGGTTGCTTTGGTTACTTGACTTTCGGGTCTCTAGTCTCTCCAAATGTCATGAAGATGTACGATGCCAGTGATCCAGTTGTCATGGTGGGCATTGGAGCACTTATCATCAAGATGGTTGTCACGTATCCTGTCCTTGCACTTTGTGGAAGGTAATTTATGTACAAATCTTACTTATCATTATTAAGTTCAGGTTTGCTACGCTACCTGGAAAATCGGAAAAAGGCAGAAAATTTGGAAATTTCCAAAAAAAATCAGGGAATTTTAAAATTTTTGCGCCACAATCTGGAAAAGTCAGGGATTTTGATTTAGCAAGAGTCAAATATGCTATATTTGGCTAACATTTCCNAAAAAAAAAGATTTTTTAGACGTTTTCATTATAACGCAGTAATTTTTAATAGCATTTCTGTTGACTTAATTCTTTTTTCTTGGCTTTTTCTGGTAATTGAAAAACTGAGATGTTCAGCTTTAAAAAAAATTTTCAAAAATTAAGATTGATTTTTATGTTCTCTGTTTCGCTTTTCGACATTTTCAAAAACGTTTTGATTGGCCTTATTTTTTAGAGTTAATTTATGAATGTTTTTCCAGGAAATATTATTCTGAGCATTGAAATTTTAGTTTCAGTGTTGCTATGCTGCTAAAAGATTTTGCTATTTCGCCCCACGTGTACGGCGTTCAGTCTTTTTTTCCTTCTTTTTTTGCCGAATATTAGGTTTTTGATCAAATCACAATTCATTACCACATTCGACCAAATCATATTCGTTGCGGAAATAAAAACGAAGGAAAAGTAACTAGGATTTACGATAAAACTGTACCGAAATACCGTATCAAAAAGGGATTATTTAATTGCGCGATTAACAATCACGTGTCGTAATAACATCATAGTTAAATAACGGGATCGTCAAAATCATGTGGAAAAGTATAGAAATAATTGGGAAAAAAATATATTTATGCTGAACTCAGCACGAATAAAGCGTGTCAAATGCATGATTTAAAATTTGTATGTCGTAATAGAACAATTGGAATTTTTTATAATACGTGGGAACGCATAGCAATAACTGCCGAAAAAAATTGTTTAAAAAAAAGATAAAAAATCACTTAGATTCAAGATGAAATCGTCACAAATAAAGAGCACAAAAAGTGATTATTTAAATTTGCGATCTGATTGCGAAAAGATTAAAAATTCGGGATTTTCGAAATCACGTAGAGAAGCGGAAATAACTGTTTAAAAAAAATCATTTATATTTACGATAAAATGGGCTTAAAGAAAGCGCGTTAAACGTACATTTACTAAAGAATCTGTTAAAATTGATTGTGTCAAAACGTGATGACTTAAAAGTGCGATTAAAAATAGTCATATTTTAAAAATTTTTTATTGTGTTTAGAAGCTTTCGCGGGCCGCACTTCAGTAGTCGAAGGGCCGCAGGTTGTGCACCCCTATGCTATGGTTTCCGACATAGAAAACTTTCAACTTAAAAAGGGCGTATGGTTAACAGACAGGATGACAGATAGAAGGCTGGATGGACTTCAGATTGTGTATTGTTATTTTTATTGAGAAATTTATAGGGATAGTGTCTTATTATCTCTTATAAATTATTATTTTTTATTGTTAATTTTCTTAATCCTCTATCACCAAGGTTTGGCAAATGAATTCAATTAAATTCGTTATTAAGAACTCGCAGGAAACAGGGGAATTGCTGTTCCACTTGAAAACTAAAAAGTTATAAGTACTAAAATATTCTGAATTCGATCCAGGTTTTATTTTTAGGGCCCAATTTCATGAAGAATGGAAATTATTACTTTATTTTACTCATTAGTTTTTTTTTGAAAATTTCTTATTTGGTAAAGAACATTGTTTTTTTATTATTAGACTTTTTAGAAGGAAAAAAATTCCGTGTTTTTTCAATTGTTTTTAAGCTGCTTCCCTATGGTTTTTCAAATTAAATCCTACATATTTAATGCGTTTTTACGACATATGATTTTCGAAATTGGGCCCATCACTTTTTTCGAAGCGCTCGTTTCGTGACGATTCCATCATAATTTTGTCATTAGTTGATAGTTTAGCAGCATTTATCTATCCTTTTTTCGGTTCCTTTAACATATTGTTTTCTAATTCCGATATTTTGAATACGATGTTATTACGCCGTTCGAATTTCGATTTTGAAATATCACTTTTTGACTCGTATGGTTTGTGATGATCCCATTGTAATTCAACATCGTTTGATGATAGTTTTTTAGGCAGTTATTTATTACTTTATTTAACACTTTTCACATGTTTTGGTTTTTTAAATTCTGATATTTTTAATATGATGTTGTTGATGATTAATTAGGATGTAATTTTCCTTAGATAAGCAATTTTTCTTCTTTTTACATTTAACAGAAGTTTCAAGCTATTACAAACAACTACATTTGAAAAGATTCATTGTTAGTTACACCAAACATTAGTCTGATTAAAATGATTTGATGATGTGAGCAAGAAAAATATTTTTAGACTCAAAAGCTGCAATTTACGTACAATTAAAACTTCATAAATTAATATTTTTAAATAATTGGTATCATGTTGAGTTAAAAACTATTTATGCTACAGGGGTGCCGTGGATGGACTCTATTCTGAATTGCGAAAACTATCTGCTGCTGAATTTATGATAGGAGAAAAAAGACGTCGAATCATCATTGCAAGCTTGTGGTTCAGCTCATCATTGCTAATTGCACTTTATACTAAAAGCATTGGCACTGTGATTCATGCTTTGGGATCAGTCTCTTCAGCTAATATTTTCATTTATCCTGGTAATTATATTTTAAATCTACCTATGAGTTTGCACAAATATATATTTTGAACACCTACTTTCAAGAAACCCTTAATTTATTAAAGCTAATTAATAATTTTAAATTTGTACTTTTATAATTACTATGTGACTGTGTTCGAATCTTTCACTAACATTTATTTTGTGTGCTTTCACATCAAAAAATGACTGTCAATAAATAATAACAAAGCTAGGAAAGCAATTAAAGCTCCAACTAGAGTATATAAGTATACTGTAAAAATTAACTTAAGCAACGTGTACAAACTAATAATTTTTTGCAATTGAAACATTTAGCCACACATTAATTACTATTTTCCAGTAAATATATATATATATATATATGTGTATATGTTAATCATGTCAGAAAAACTCTCTAGCTATGTTATTTTTAAGATTTATATCAGAATGCATAGTCAAATTATCCAACAAAAATAAGCACCTTTTAAGCACTCAAAAAATATTTTTAAGCACTTTAAAAAAATATTATTAGGCAGGGTCAAAACGTTTTTGACAATTGACGGTTTTATCTTGTTTTAACCGTCATGTCAAAAAAAAAACTTATGGCATTGTTTTTGTGAAAAATCATGAAATTTTGAATAATGTTAAACGAATGGCGTTTTCATATGCTACGGACTGACAATACTCCGAAATAGATTGGGCTTGAATTAATTGAGAAAACGTTGAATAGAACAATGTGAACCGTGTCTTTTTGCCTAATTCGTAGCGAAAATCAACATAAAGGAAAAAGGGAAAATTAAGCACTTTTCAAAAATGCTATTCACCCTATTATATGTTTCAAGTTAGAATCTTTTTCTTAAGACTAGGAAAGTGTTCAATGCAAACAAATATTTTGATGAATTAATTTTGGAGGAGAAAAAAGCCTCTTAAAATGAGTCTCATTATACAGGTCATGAAATGATACCTACAGTATCTTCAATAGTATGTCACTTCCTTTAAATTTGCATACAAATACAAATTTGTTTGCATCAGGCTTAATTTATAATATTTAATGAGTTTACCTCAAGTATGTTAGGTTATTTATATTTGGTGCGGTATAAAGGAATCCAGTTCTTTGCCATTAAACTCTACACAACACTATCCAAGTCTTCAGATTAAATATAACACCTATATTGGGCACATTATACAATATTTTACTTTTTAATATTTAATTGCTTAAAACTCAAATTTTTTATATCCATGCTATTTTCAGGAATTTGTCTCATACAAGTAACACTACAAACTGATCGGGATTTAAAAAGAAAGAAAAGTTATTTACTAATTGCTGCAGGTATTCTTCTGGCAGCCGTTGGTGCTTTCTTCTGTGGAATCATCCTTGTAGACTGCTTTATGAATGGCAGTGGAAGTGAAGCTGATGAGGTGCTTTGCTTGTGATCTAGTCTTGTTATAATTTTAACTAAAATCCTGTTTCAACCTTAGTGTAACAATCATAAGTGCAGCAACAAGAGATAGTGCATGAAGTATATTAAAGCTTATGTAATATTTCAAGAATGTGTCTTGGACATACTGAATAAGTATTCTTGGCAAATAATAGGCATTTAAAGTTGACTTTTGAGATTTGGGGAAATTGGTTTATCAGTTGAAACAAATGTCCATGGATTAGATGCTCATGCATTTTAACTATTTAAGATTTTAATTGGGAAAAAAAGATGTGAATTTGTTTTGTTTTTTTGGTGTAATTAGGAACTGGTGAATTAAAAAATTCACATCGTGAAAAAAATTTTCCAAAGAAATCTAAGAAAACAGAGCTTTTTGTGTGTGTTTATTTCTGTTTTCAAAGCTTGATTCAATAATTGTATATAAATAATCAAGAATAATTCATTGTTTGTGAAAAAAAAATATGTTTTCCTTAAATATTTATGTAAATAGTGTAATTTGTGAAAGTCCTATCCATAATTCAATTTCTACACGCACAATCATTTTGCCTTATGATATTTTGATTGACTAAACAGAGAGCATATCAAATGTTTAAAATTATGCATTTAAATTTTTTTTTTCTTGTTCAGTTATGTTGTTGAAAACTTAATAAATTAAACTGACAAATTAAGTGTCTTTTTGTCAAAAAAGACATAAAAAGAACTGAACTATTTCATCAATAATATGTTATTAAACTTATTTAATAAGGGATCTATTGTTATTTTGGATATTGGACTTATATTATATTGTTTTAAAGTATATTATTGTTTACATGTAATTAAATAATTTTTATAAAATATTGAAGACATTTATTATTCCTAAAAATTTTACAAATATTAATAAGTTTAACAGTACTTGTATATTTCGGGTTTCTGCCTCTATTGCTAATTTTATAGCAATTATGCAGTTTTAATATTGTTTATTTCATAAAGCAGACTAAAATTTTTGAATCTACGTTTTTGTGCTTATTAAAATTAAAAGAATATTTTAAAAGCAAATCTATTGCAATTCAAAGTTTTAAAAGAAATGCTTCAATTATGCAGTCAAAATAATGGAAAGAATTCATTATAAAATTTCAGCCAGCAATAAACAAATAAAATTGCGAGCAGCTATAAACATATACCTAAACATCAATATCATATAATAGTGTATATAATATACTATTACAAATAATAAGACTGAAATGGCTCTGCTACAAATGATCTATATTTGAAATAAAATAAATTCGTTAATGGCTGAATAATTTGTACAACATACATGTTCTATATCAACCGCAATGCTAATGCAAAATATGTGAATACCTCCTTCATAAAACTAATTATCATGAGAGTTTTTATCTCCTTGTAAGGAAATAAATGTTAGCTTTTTAGAAATTCTCAACATTAAGAAGTACATCCTGATACTTGACACAGAAGTTTTGTCATCTTCAGAGTTTGGTTTTAAAATTTCTAAGTTACAGAGTTAAATATAATGAGCCATACAACAAATGTTATTTATTGCCTGCATCAGATAGCCTAAGACTGTTCAACAGGTGGGAAAAAATGAAATATAGCTCAAGTTGGGAGCGAAAAAATGGTTATATTTGTGTTGAAATTTTAATACTAAAATGAAATTGATACAAATAAAAATAGAAGATATATACAATTGTTTCTGTAATAAAAACAAGCAAAAAATCTTCATCGCTAAGTTACAAAAGAGTAAAAATTTATCAATATTTTTAAATATTAGATTATATATAAATATTTCATATATACTTCTATTTTCCTTGTTTTGGTAATTTTCATTTGAATAATTCAAAGATTAAATTTAAAATATTAGGGTCATAAATTAATATTTTAATGTCAGAGAAAAAAAAAATTTGCAAAATCGACAAATATAAGTCTCTTTATTTTTAACTAACTAGGATTACAAATATTCATTCAATGTAAAATTTTCTAAAAACTACAATTATAAATTTGATGAATACTGTCATGAATAAAACAGCTAGCATTCATTCAAATTTTAGTAGCATTATCAACCATATATTTAATCAATCTTATTACTTAAAATGCATCATTACGGAAAATTAACTAAGCATGTGATTTCTTTTAACATTTTACTTGCTTATTTAAATTTTTATCAATGATGTAGATGTTCATGAATTGATTTTTTATAAGAATTTTATGTTGATATCAGTAGTGATTTAAAACTAACAGTAGATTTAATCAACTTTTCTATCAATATTCAATTAAAACTTTGTAGATTCTTCAAGAAGAAACCTTTTGCAACAAAATTACTAACTGCAGAATAATAATACACAAACGCTTTGTATAATAATGATTACCAAAGGTTTATCATTTTCTTCTTTGTGTCAACTGAACTTCACAGTATAGTAGAAGGCAATGGATGAAACGTTGCACCAAGGCACTTTGATTCAATGGAGTGATATATTAGTGCTCTTTACTAAAGGGGTCTAGTGTACACTAGGGTTAGTTAATTTAAATCAGTTTGATTAAAATCTCTATTAACCTTAGATAACAAAACTTAAATCAGTGTTAATTTGTAATTAGCAAAGCTTAAAAGAAGTATTTTATTTTATAACTGGAGTTGAACAACCAACCCAATTCTGAGTTTACAACTATCAATGTTTAACTCCGTAGCCAATTCAGACGAAAAGGGAACTCCTGGATCAAGCATTGTGACAAACCATTTCGTGGGGGACTTTTTTTTCATGGAACTAACTCGCATTTGCATTGCATGGAGAGAGAAACCACAAAAACCTTCCAAGGTCAGCTTGACGGCAAGGGGAATCTCCTCCATGATCGTCTACCAGAGCATATTCACTTCAGCACTGTGGTTGGTGTAACCCAGGAACAGAATTCAAATTAACCAGTCACTGCTGGAATTCGAATCTGGACCACCTCATTGGGAGGCAAATGCTCTATCTCCTGAACCACTGCAGTTCTTAAAAGAAGTATTATATTTCAAGTAAAAAATAGAAATATGATAAAAATTATCGTTTGCCGTTTTGACATATGTTAAAGTATGTCTATGGACGAACGATGATTGATTTCATTCTGTTCTAATGTTAATTGTCAATTATTATGCTATAAAAAGTATTCCATTTTAAAATTGAATATACGTATGGTATCTTAACTCTTTGCATGTAACTACTGAAGAAACGATTCATTATATATTTAAAAGGCATTGAAAAGCTTGTCAGTGGAAAGCGTAGAATTTGTTGACCATGCAACTACAGTTAAACCTCGACTAATTTCCATAATAGCTGGTTTGCAATATCAATACAGAAAGGATACACAAATTTTAATGAAGATAAAAGCAGTTTTTTTTTTGTGGCTTAAAACCACTTAAGAGAAGACCAGTTAAAATAAATAAAACTAGTTTTCGGTAATTTTTTTTAAAAAAATTAAAGGTAAATATTGATAATTACAATGCTTAGATATATTTGCAGCAATGATTTCGGATTTTAAAAGCAGACAACTTTGGAGCAACAGCTTTTAGCTTTCAAATCCATGAGAACAAGAATTTTTAACTACTTGGAAATGAAATGTAGAAATAATTTTTTTTAATACTACTTCAATGTAAGAATATTACGAGATTCACTAAAGTGACCAATTTCTCCAACAAAATATATTTTCTGATGCAGTATTGTAGAAAATATCAGATTTACAGAAAATTAAGTTTAATTTTTTGAAATCCTGGCTTTTTCACGTAAAGGACTGGATGATTATTTTTTTTCTGCAACGCTTAATGATGGAAATAAGACCTTCTTGTGCAGAATTGTCAGAGGCGTAAAAGTCAAATATGACATTTTGGTCTTCAAACTAGCAGATTTTTAAGTACACAACTAATGCCCTAAAAGACGCACAATGACTTGTATTACTTCAAATGGGTTTTACTTGATTTGTTAGCTCATCAAAAAGCAGCTAGTGTCTAAGCAATTGATGAAAAAAAAACATGGTATATATAAATTTTTTTTTTAATTTGTCGTGGATCCAAATATGTCATTTCTTATGCAAAAACTGATTGCTGGTCTTAGGCATGTGGTCAATTGTCTGATTTGTAATTGTATTGGGGTAACTACAGCAGAATCAGCTTCGTGTTAAATAAACTACTCAAGTGTACCTATACCAGTGCTTTTCAACACATACTACATATTTAACAAATACAACATATTTATAATAATAACCAACTAATAAAACTTTATTAAATTGAAATAACATAATAGATAAATATATATCTTTAAAACAAAAGAAAGCTCACAAAAACTTATTTAGAGCAAATAAATATGACAGATATAACAAAAATAAGCTCTTTCAAGACTAGATAAATAATTGTAAATATGCATCTTAGCAAATTAAATTTTAAAAAAAAAACTAATTTACTGCACAACATAATTAAATTCTCATGAAGTTAAATTAAACATAAGTATAAGAAAAAAAAACTTGCCAAACCTGTAGCATTTTAACTACCTCAACTATTTAACATATAAAGGTTTAGTAACAAATTAAACCTGCCAGTTTTAAAAATGTCAATTTTCGTCAAAACTTTCAAGTCTTATAATAAGAAAAGCTAATTATTTTTACTTCACCACACAGAGTGCTTTGCAGAATCTTTTCTATGCATTGCATTTGCATCTTGCAAAAATTTTAAAAATGTGTCTTCATTAGCTCGTTTTTCTAGCCATGCATCTAATACTTGAGCATAACCACTTGAATCCATCTGAAACCAGAGAAAAATTAGAATACTTTCAAGATCTTTACATAAACAACAATTAATATCAAAATGTCAAAGAACTTAGAGAATTTTTACTTTTGAACATTACAATTAAATTAAAAAATTTACAATTAAATGAAAAATTACTGCTTTCAAAGTTAAATTCAAAAAATAAATTATAACTCAGAGCATTGCCTATCTACTACACAAATCAATATTTCCAAGATATTTCTGGAAATTCAAATAATCTTATGGACATGAATAAGCTCAAAAATATATTTTTTCCTTCAAAATAACAGAATTTATTTGCAGTTGTTTTAGAAAAGGAGTTACAGCAAAGCATGAAATTTCAGTTTTAAAGATACTTTTTTCAGTGATAGTTTTAAAAATAAAAATATGGATAGCAATATTTGTATTAAAAATAATTGTCATAGTTTTTGATGTGATGGCTTTATCAATACATAATTAAAACTGTTTAAAAACAGATGCAATGTCAAAAAATTGCCAACCTTGTTTTGACACTACTTATTCAACAATTATGTTTTTTTGTGGTTGGTAAATATTGAGTTTAATAGTACAAAAGTGATAGAGAGAGAGTAGGTACAGTATCAAATACAGTTAAGTACTCAAGACAGGGTTGAGGTTTTGGACGTCCTAAACTGGTTTTGGACAGGACACGTAGGTTTTACTGTCTTAAACTGGGTAAAACTGTCCTAAACTGGGTAAAACTGTCTTAAAGTGTCCAAAACCTTGAACTTTGGTAAAAGGTAAAAATTCTATAGGTGTAACCATTGTACACATAATAATTACATGTATCAATAAATATTTGATATTTTTTATACAATTTACTAAACTTATTAAAAGAAAATAATATAATATAATAGGAAAAGGTTTATAATTTTTGAAGCTCCACAATTCATTGAACAACAAAAGTGAATACCTAATCCTTTAAATATAAATATGCTTTTAATACTGATAAATAATATTTTTGCATAAGGACAAATATGGCAGTATTAAAAAATAATAATTTTTCTTAAAAAAATACTAAATTTGTTCAAAAATTAACCTTTCATATTTTTTTAAAAAAATTTTATAATTTCTGCATCACAGGATGATAAAAAATACATCTATTTTAAAAAAATTGTTTTTAAATATAAATATATTAGTTTAAGTTGAAAATACAAGATAACTGAAAAATGTATTAACAATTTTGAAGGGCATAACATCAGTTTCAGTTACTGACACTGGTGATGTATCACCACTATGCTAAAAGAATTGAACATGAATGAAATAAAAGTATTCTTGAATAGTATTATAGATAAATAAACCTGTTTATGACTTAGTTTCTAATATTTTAACCTGTATGGCAAGGCCAAACTTCAGTTATGTACTACTGAATGAGAGGACCAATTGAACTTGATTACGGATCCATCTTCCTTTGTTTAAATTGAAGAGTCAAACAATATTAATAAAACATTATACTTTTGAAAACAAATATTCTCTATTATATTTAATTATCATTACGTTATCAGTTCTATGTTTATTTTACCTCTTAAATATTGTTCAGATAAAATTGTGACATAATTTGATTAAAAGGGTTTTGGACAGTTTAAGACAGTTTTGGACAGGACGGTTTAAACCGTGGATTAATCCATATCTGTCCTAAACCTTGCCAACCCTGACTCAAGATAATAAAATCAAAGGATGTATGTGCTGTGACTAGGAGGCATACACAGCATACCTCCAAACTGTTACATTTCACTGGCATTGAAGCATGTCTGTGTTAAAAATATTTCAGTTTATAAAATCTTAAAAACAAAAGCACAAAAAAAGGAGACGTCACTACTTTGAATACATAATTAATGAGTTGTGGATGGTTTAGATTAAGTATTCACTTCCCAATGAGGTGACTCAGATTCTAATCCAGCTGTGGCTGGTTGGTATAAATTCTGCTCCTGGCTCACACTGACTACAGAGCTTATCCTTAATTCCTTAATAGTATCTGTATCATGGGTTAGAATCTCCTCGGCATCCGGCTAACCATGGAAAGTTTTCATAGCTTTCTTCTCCATGTAACGCAAATGTAGGTTAATTTCACCAAAAAGTGTTCTAAAAAAGCTAGCTTGATCCAGGAGCTCCCTTGTCTTCTGGATTGGGTTCAAAATTACAAGGCAACAGAGTTGAACAGTGATAGTTGTAAACTCAAAATTGGGCCAGCTGCTCAACACCGGTTATAAAATTTTAATTAAAAAATACATAATTGTAATATTATAAATCGCAATGATTCAGTGGGTAAAGGCATTGAGTTATCCTTGTGGTTAAAATCAATTCTGATTCTTAGAGGCGACTTGAAGCCAACTCAGTTTCAGATGGATGGGTACTGGGGTGTACAGACAGCTTGTGTGTAATACTGACTCCAACGTAACAATCATGGTGTTGGTCACAAAATTGTAGACTTTCATGAACCCCCATAGCTTATAATGGCTTGTTATGACAATGCTTTACTTTGATATTCTTATTATTTCAAAAATTATACTCTCATTTCTCTAATGCATTTATAATACTGTAACAAACAAAAGGCTAAATTTTCCGGGTTAAATTCAGAATCTCATTAAATGCTGGGTCATTATAATTAGGCCATGCACTACTTATTAAAAGATGTAATGACGACAGGCAAATGCCTTGTAAGAAAATGTTGTTTTAACAAATTTTTATTAATTAAACTGTTTCTTTTCTTAATTTTGATTATGCAACATATTAAACCTGGTGTAAAAGGTCAAAGCGACATAATGAAAATTGAAACGATCAGAAGGGAACTCTCAATTATGAGACACATAATTACCTAATAAAGGGAAACTCCTAAGATCTTTAGATTATTATTATTTCTGTTAAAACTATAAGAATATTGATTTAAGATTTGAAAGAGTACAGCATTGTAGAATAATAAAAATTCACATTTTTTTCAACTGAACAATATTTAATCAAAATCATCTGTTTGAAGAAGAAAAAAGGTTCATGTTATCATTTCAATCTTCTTTTATTAAAAAAATTAAATTACCTTTGTTGTGGATGAATAACTTGTATTTTCCGTAAGGTATTCTTCACAAACTCTCCTGTTAAGCTTATTCCATGAGATGTAAGTAGCAGTAGATATTCCAGTTTCCGATATAATTTGCCCCTGGCTGTAGCTGTTAATCCACATATAGCAAAATGTAAGTATCTGTTCAAAACTCATATTAGTTAGCTCAAACCAAGAGCCTCTTCGGACTGAGCACCTTCGAGAACAATTTTGTTTCTTTTCCTGAAATCATAATCAACAATCAAATCATAACAATCCTAAAAAATTTTGAATGAGAACAAGTATCTAAATTTATCACATTTGAGTAAACAGAACGATAATTAACATACAGTCAGATCTTATGTAACCTATCAAAGTTAAGATATAGGTAATTTTATTTCACCAAAAAGCCTTTTTAAAGCTTATAAATTAAATGCTTCTTTAAGAAACAGCAAAAAGCAAACAAATTATGATAAATATATGTTTATAGTTCACCAACATCAACATATTTGGTTAGACAGAGTGAGTCATTGCCTTCTTTTAAATTCCATTTCTTCTAATAGGGATTTAGGATAATTTTAGGATAATTTTTGATAGTTTCAAAACTTTTTGTCAAATACTTACTATAAATTTCAATCCTTAACTTTTTACAATTGTTTAAACATTTTAAAATTGCCTGTAATGCTTTTATAGATAATGATAAGTATCAAATATCAACAAATTGTGGAAATGGATTACATATTTTAAAATGGGCAATCTTTTATAAATATGGTCTTCAAATTATTCTAGAAAACTAACATTGACATAAGTTTTTAAAAATATTATTTTTCCTGTGGCCATGATCTTAAAACTTATTTTTAATACATAAAAATTGGGACAGCTAGAATTTAATGAAGTACAAATTAGGATTGCTAAATTAACTTATTTAAAACAGCTTTTGGTGCTTTATAAAATATTCATCAAATATTTTTTTTAATAAAAACTTTTACATTTTATAATTATATTAAGGTGCCTAAAACTGTTTAACAAATTTTATGTAAGTAATATTTTACAAAACAACTATTGCTTACATAAATCTCATTAATTTGCTTAGATTTTTTTTTCTTTGATTAATATCATTTTTAAGGAACACCTAATTAATTTTGAAATGATTATAAACCATACATATCATTTTTATCTACAAGAGATAAACTACAAATTTGCAATCGACATCACTATCCAAAAGTATTTGAAATTAACTGTAAAATTAGTCTATGGCGTAACTTACCATATCATTAGAGCAAACCCATACAGCTCCATCAGATAGTCGGGGAACTAATTTGAGAGTCATTGCACAGCCACAAGTAGGACATAACATACTAGTACAAATTAATTCCATTTGTCTCAACCAGTCTATAATACTCTCCTTACTATCGCAGATGATTCGACATAAATAGGCATAATTTATGTGAGGTCCATCTAAAACTTTGCTTTTGAAATTCCATTTCTTTTGTTTGAGTTCCTTTTCACAAAATGCAGCTATGGAAACAATGCAATAAATCTTCATTACAAGAAGAAACAAAAGAATTCTAAAAACAGTAGATAATACTTTAAATTATCAAACTGAAATGATCATAACTAAGAGATAAGATAATAATTCTTAATGCCTTGAAATTCAAAGTTTTTTTTTTTATTATTATTTTTAAAATGACTTATAAAGAAATTAAAATAGTTAATGCAAAAGAATTTGAATTAGTGATTAAATTACATTTTACATTATTATATCAAGTAGTATTTTGTGGCTATTATTAAACCAATTATAGGTCATTAAAATATTATGTACAAAAGAACAGATATTAATGAACAGAAATAATATCACAACAGAAACTCTTTTACCAAGTTATTTGCTTTTAAATTTAAAAACTATTTTAGGTTTCATACATTTAATTTTCTGGACTAAATTTATTTTATTGATAATATATTTTAACACAAGTTTAAAAACTCTTTTTTCTTCTTTTGTTTCAAAATGTAACTCAGGAAAAATAAATTTTTTTACTGTAATTTACAATCAAGAGAAAAATTTTTGCCACAATAAAAATTATCAGCATTAAACATTTGCCTGATATTCTTTAACATTTATTGATTAAATTCATTTATTGAATTCAAACTAGTCATTTATATCTGGTTTTGCACATGCAAAATATTTATCCATATGGCTTAACATTTTTCAACCAAGATGGATCGATAAAATTTAATAAATTATTTATATTTTAACAATATACAACGTAATTTATTGTAGATTTGCTAATAAAATTGAAAATGGATTAATAATAAACACAAAAGTTTCCATTCTAATACCACATATAATAATTGCAGAAATTGTTGAAATTTATTCTATACTTACAAAAAGAACTCTCACTCGAACCACCAAAATCTGGATTTGCATATTCAACTTTGAATGATTTTGAAGAAACGGGGGTTCTTTTTAATACAGAGACAGGTTTATTTAATTGAGTAGGAAAAGAATTAAACTCTTCTTCAGTTTTAAACTTTTGAGAAATATGATCCATTAAAAAATTGTCTCGATTATTTTCAGGCAAAACTAATTCCACACCCTCAAACTGAATGGAAACATCTTTATTATTTGCCCAATTTTTCACGAGTTCATTCAATAATTCTGCACGAGACTCTGATATCTGAGAATCTTCGTAAAAAGATAGTAAGGAAATTTCTAATAAATTTTGTACAAACAAATGCTTTAAATCATTTGAAACAAAATTATTAATCCCATTCAATGTAGTTTGAATTGACAAAAGAGAAGACTGGTAGTATTTCATAATCCAAACAGAATCTGCTAAATTTTCATCAAAGGCACAAAGACTCAGTGTTTTCCTCACTGCAAAAATGTGTCGGCAAGGCAAAAAAAAATACAGGAAAAAATTGCATTGGCACATTGATACAGTAGCATTAACTGACGTGCCTAAGCTATCAAAAAAATAACTGTCAGATAAAATGCTACAATCCATATGTATTTCAGAAGATAAGCCGTATTGATCAATAACAAACCTGGCAGCATATGGGGTTAGTACTCTGGAAATTTGGTACTCGGTAGAAAATCGAGAATAAAATAAAGGATTTGTGAGCAAATTCAAGCTAGATTTTTCTTTCCTTTTAATCGACAGTATAACAAACAATTTTTCAATGAACTTCGCCAAGCTCTCTTCTGAGACAAATATTACTTTTATTGAATTGTCTAAAATTTCTAAATGATAATTCAGAGAGCTAAATAAATTTTCATGAAAAAAATCTAGTCCAATTCGCCATAATGGCTGTAAAGGCAGCCACACTTCTTGAAAATAAAATACTAAACAACTATGCAACATAATGTATTGTTGATAATACATCTCATACTCAGCATGACTAATTGAGTTGTACATACTTTTAAATAAATCCACAGCACATTTAATTTGATCATTGGGAATCATGTTTTGAATTCTAATTGATTCTACACCTTTGTTAAACGATTTGAGAGCATGATGAAAACATATTATGGCATACGGAGTTGGAAATACAGTTCTAACTACATCTTTATACTTTATTTCAGGATCAAGAGTCAATATTTTCGTTTTACGCCAATTAGGATTATGCTTCTTAAACGTGTTCAAAAGCCATAAAAAGGATTCAGAATTATCACTTGTTGAAAAACCAACAGCTACTATTTCATTTCGTCCGTTTGAATCTTCGCAAAGAAAGATGTACATAAAAATATCAGCTACCATACAATGAGTAACATCAATGCAAAGTCGGTCAGGAAAAAAGTTAAAAACATCCTTCATAAATGAATCTTGACAGTATATGCATTTCATATCATTATTGGAATCTTTTATGCACTCAGATACTACTCCATATTTATTTTCTAGGTATTTAACAAAAACATCAAATGAAAACGCTCCTTCTTTTCCGCTAAAATCATTTTCTAACTCAATTAAATTTTTAATCTTTTCCATTTTACAAAACAATACTTGAGACAAATAACAGTCATAAGAAAAAAGTCTTTATAATAAAATGTACCTCGACATACTTAAAATATGTAATTATTTTAAAATATTATTACAATTTATTATTTTTGACTGGCGGGGCCTTTTTAAATCTGTCAATGTCTACGGTTTTGGCTGTCTATTTCTGTCTTTTTAAACGTAAGGGTGTACCATTTTTTTTAATTTAAGAGTAGCATCACTGTGAGGAAAACTATAAACGCCAATCAAACGAGTCTATGCATGCGTCTTTAAGTAAAAGATCCAATCAAACGCATCCATTTCTGTTCCAAGTTACCTAGCGAACAGCATAACACTCTTGCAAAAGTTTTGAAGAAAAGTTTTCAAAGTGGCAACCACTACCTTTTATTAGTAAACAAACAGACGAAATAATGACCGTTCGCATGCTTCAAAAGTGTTTGACTCTACAAAGAAGATTTTGCACTATCCCTCTACCCTTAACAGTAAAGGAAGCTCTTTCAATCAAGCCAATAAATAAAACAGTTTTAGTCCGGGTATTGTTATAAATTTTTCTCTGTTTGCAAATTTTAGTTCGAATTTTGTCTTTGAACAGTTATTATTTCAAAATGCTTAATTTTAAATAGCTTTGCATCGATAACTTTAACTTAATAACTCTATTTTAATATTTAAATATAACAATGTACCGGTGGATAACCGATCAGATTTTTATTACCCTTTTATCGGCATAAATTACCCGATTCATGGTACCTTGACCTGACTACCGAATTTCAGCCCGAAATACCTATATATTTATTATATTTTTAAACTAAATTTAATTGAAGTGGTGAAAAAAACATTCATTATTCAAAACTCTGCCATTGACCCTAAGGATTATCTTTGCACTATATGAAAAAGATGGAACTTGAAAATAATAAATGCTGTAATACCCTGCTGGGTAATAAATCCAATTTATGTCCAGATCCTTATATCCAAAACTGGCTGGTTTGTAAATAAAAATTTTGGAAGACATAGAACCAGGTAAAAGATTTAGTTTCCTCCTCATACCTAGACAGAGCAAAAAATTTTATTATGTGATTATAAATGCAACTTTAATATAGTAAATTACATATTCTGTGTAATATAGGCAAAAACTGATTAATCCACAGTAATTTAAAGTTAAAAATTAGAGAATTAAGCTTAAATTTAAATATAAAAATGCAACAAAACAATCATCTTGAATGCAATACAGGACTTCTTCAGGGGGGAACCCTGCATGAATTCATGTCAAAGCTTCCCTTTAAATTATTGTTTAGCAAAATAAAAGTGTAATCTCATTGATCTGTAGAGGTGAATTGCTAAATTTGTTTTAAATTTATTTTTATGATATTTAAAATAACTGTAATAGAGAGAGCATTGCATCTACCATTTTAGTGTGTTAGAATTCATCGTGATGTAACTAATTATGTCTTTTTATAAGCTGGAGCCATTCTCATGACTGTACAAATTAAATTTTAAAAATTAACTTGTATTGACAATAAGTAACAGTAAAAAGTTTAATTTAAAGTGCATTGGAAGCTAGTAAAGATTATTACTTGAATTTAATAGAAAACTGAATATTATTAATATCAATATATGTTTTAAAGAAAGATTAATAGTAGAATTAGCTAAGTAAAACATTCTTAGAACAGTCAGTTGATGACAAAGAGAGTTATTGTGATTTGAGACTTGATAATTTCAAGATCATCTGCTTGGTCAGCATTGTACTCCCTTTAATTCTCACACTAGCTGATACCAATTAATTTAGAGCACAGGAACAGAATACCTATTATTTGATGCAAAGTTATTTAGTAATATGGCAGAAAATGTAAAAAAAGACTACTTGATCTCAAGGAATGTAAAAGAACATTGTAAAAATTAATGTTATATGGTAAATATTTCACATGGTTTGTCAATAATGTAAATTAACGTATTTACCGCATGATTTGTCTGTTGTTTGTTATATTTTACTTTTAATTTTGATTTGCTTGTTTAGAAATAACTTTACCTTTCTTTTTCACAACATCCTGCAATTAAGTAATTCTTTTTAATTAAATTATAATTTTTATTTATAGCTTTCTGCTAATGAAACTTGTATTTGTTTCAATAAATTTTTTGTTTGTTTTGATCTCACAGGGATGGGTTCAATCTGTTAGGAATCACAAAGATTTATATTTTGTGGATCTTGTTGATGGAACATGTTTTGGCAGACTTCAAATAGTTTTAGATGCGCAAGAGCATAGGTAAGTTTTCTTAAGTTATTCATTTTTATTTACGTAATTTTTCTTACCAAATTTATGTCAAATGTTTTTAGTATTTAAGAAATATTCCAAGAAACTAAATCTGAAAGCTATTCTTTTTTTATAACCTTCATTCGCTTCAAAAATAGTCAAATCAGGGTAAATCGTAGTGGTCACAGTTTCAAATCAAGGTAAAACACATTTCCACGTGCTATGGTAAGGAACTAATGTTGTTAATAATGGAATCAGTATTCATATGAATAAAACAAGATTCCAGAGCATCAAGAAGAGCTGATGTGATTGGATTGAAAGTAATGTTGGTATTTAAAGTGAATGAAGTTTTTAAACAAGTAAAATGTTTTCAGTGTTCATTCATTTTAATTCACAGGAAAACTCATTATCAATTCCAAAATTATTTCAGACAACTAGAGGTTGAGAGCTTTGCCTATTTAAATATCATTGTCATTGTAATAATAATGCAATGCATTACTGCAAAGTAATTCTTATATAAATTGATTTGTATTAAAGCTATTTGTCAAAAATGCTGCTAAATAGCTATCCTTTATGTATGTTTTTAGAGTCTGTGTCAAAATTATAAACATATTATGGGTTTCTAATTCACATTTAAGTATAATCTAAGTAAAAATGGTATCAAAATTTTTATGATTTATATTTGATATTGTTTTCTTTTTGTGATATATGAAAACTAAAATTAGTTCATCTTATTAAGTTTATCTACTTTTGGGCATTAAGTTCTGTCTTCAACTAATCAATGCATGTTTCTATAATCTCAGAGCGATATCTTATTAAATATTTAAAAAGTTCAGTTTTTGACTTTAAGTTAGTCTGGTGGAGATTCACAGGGCTATAACCAAGCTCACTGTTTGCAAATATCTTTCGAGAAATTTTCCCCGCATCCATGGATGTTATTGTGAAAGGAGACAATGGATATTTGTCTCCCGTAAAAATTAGGATACTATTAAAGATCCCACCCCTAATATATCTGACAAATAAAAGAAATTTTCATGTATAATGCAATATAGTTTTTTTTTTTCAGTTTTTTTTTTTTTTTTTTTTAAAGTTAAGGATTTAAAAAGAGCATATTGTTTTACAGATTGAAGAAAATGGTGAATTATTTTTTTTTTCTTTTTTTTTTTTGTATGTGGTACTTGGAGAATTTTTGTAGCTGTATATTTTAATTTTGCCCACCTTAAAAACTGATAGTCTGTAATTCCCATGCCTGCATTGTTTATTATACACTCATTTAGTTTCATGAATTGTTTTTATTAAATATTTTTGAACCATGTGAAATAATATATAAACAAGTGGGTATTATTTATTTAAATTTTATTCACTACTCTCAATAAATTTACTTAATATTCATTTTTTGTGGATGGAATCAAAAAAGTCATGCCTGCAGTAAAGCACTTACGCCGTATACTTGTTACTTATTTTGACCGCTGATATAGCAACGCTTGCTTGTGAAAAAGTCTGATTGATTCTACACAGTAGTTTTTGGTTGATGCCCTTTCAAATATGGAAAGTGAAAAGCTGCATTTCGGTATATATAAATTTTTTTTACTATTGAAAGGGTAAAAATTTTGTTTAAGCAAGAGAAATTTTTTTTTATGTGTATGGATAAGAGGTATTAGTAGTAGGCTTGTCTGAGCCAAAACTAGTTTGCAAAATTTCTATCCAGCAATCTTATTTATGCAAATTGGTGAATAACAACTCATAAGCTTGTTGAAGTATTAAATTTATCGAATTCAATCTATCGTGATCATTTGAAACACCAAGGTTTTAACTTAAGACTCAACATATGGTTTTCTCATGTTCTTACAGAAAGAAATTTGTTCTGTCACCTTGATGTCTGTGATTTGCTTCTCAAATGTTAAGAAAATTAGTCATTTTCAAAGCCTTTTATCCCATTGGACTAGATATAGGTTGTCTGCAGCAATATTCTAGTCTCTGCAAAAAAAATTTAGATGGTCAAACCTTTGCTTCAAATGTGGATGACAATCCCCATATGTGTCAGTTTTTTGTTAAAAAAGAATAAAAGTTTTAAGAGCATTGAATCATGCTACTGACAAAGAGATGCCAAAAAGTAATCAGAATGGACATTATACAACTCAATGAAGTATTTTTAACCATAAGAAAACCGCCTTTCCTTTTCATAAAATAAAAAAGAAATTTTTTTAAAAAAAACTAAATTACTTTTTAAACAACCCAATATTTTTTTTGCGATAATCATGTATCATGAGGTGATAGCAGGAAACAAAATATTAATTATCTTTGTCTTCTGTTCAATAAGTTGGAGGAAAAAAAGTTATAACAAAACTGCAGATATTGAAATATTTAGTGAAAAATATGAATTCGAAGATAGAAAAGCATTTAGTAAAATCATAAAAGCTAATTACTTTATATGAGATATTAAATCATGGTGGTAATATTTAAATAGAATAAATTGCTGAAATCTGAAGGATTTCTATATAATTACATGTTATTTTCAAAGTGTTGTCGTAATTATGCCTTAGTTGAGATACTGCCCTGTTAGCTAATTGCTAGGATTGTTAGGAAATTGGAGTAATATGACTTTTAACGGAGGAGAGTTCAAGGAATGACATAATTCCCCCAACTTACAACAAAATGAAACAACTATTTCCCACTCTCCTATGAAGGTGACTTATCCCTGTTACCATTATAACCCCCAGGTTTTTGTGATAGCTGGATAAAAGGCAGGTTCTTTTTTTTAAGGTACATAAATAAAATAATAAATCTATCATCATTGGGATTTATTTTAACTGTGGTCAGTCTGAAGAACTGTTGAAAAAAAAAATTTCTAAATTTATTACTTTAAATTTATTTACTTATTTAAATACTGTGTTTC